CCGGAGGATCGGTCGTCTCACTGATGCAGAAAACAACCTCGTGGTACTCATACATGAGAACGAACACTCGTGCCGTAGTATTTTAGTAAGCCCCGCATTAACTAACCATAACTTTTATAGGCGAATTGAGAGATGTTTTTGTTATCGGAGTTTTCATAATGTTGCTCTATAATAACCTCACATGAAGAGAAGACATCATTTAAGTGAGTTTTGAGAATCAACTAGACTTGGCTCTTTTTCTCCCTGAGCCTTGATATAACCGGCAACTCAGCGTTTCCCAATTTATAGTGTACTGCATAAGATTATATTTCTGGTATTGAATTCGTGTGGAGTCTGTACATTATCATTAACTGGCCATTTAAACTAAGAATTATTTTACTGTTTTATGCATTTTCTTTACATTCTTCCTAATCCGTGTAATAATGAATGCTTTCTATCTGTGCAGTGCAAAAGTTGGGATTTCAGTTGTGGCGGTATCACTGGTTCTGCTTTTAAAATCTGGAAACGTAGTGTGCTTCTATCCACTCGGACTTCCGCCTTCGTTAAATGCTGTATGATGTGAATGCTTACTGAATGTCCTTGGAGTAACAGGACCTCTCATCGTACTTCCAAATATCACGACAATCAAGCTAATCGGTGCCGGTCTGGGTGGCTGACAAATATTGCCTTATTAACTAACACTAGAATATGCTGGAATTTTGGTGGATAGTGCCGAAGTGATGACATTCAAGTAGCCAACTGAGATCGATCACACTGGTATTACTATTTGGTATTATAAGGGGTAGCTTTTCGTATTTGTGTATTATTTTACCTCTTTTAGTCAATTACAATTAACGTGATACTTTGGTTTACCTGACATTTCTTTGGGTCCACTACACTTAGTCGACATACATCTAAATAATACAAGTGAACAGTTATTTCTACTAGTTTGTATACCTACTCTGTCATTCTCATGAAGTGGAATATGAATATTTTACAAGTTACTTTTGTAAATTTTTCTTGTCTGCGCCCGACAGTGAGCTGTTTATCCATGTAACGTACGAAATGTGCTGAAAACGGTAAACAAACAAAATCTTTTCAAATTTTTTTTGTACCTAGCAGCAGACTACTTAGACATTTGAAGATATCAGCGAACTTGGATACGAATCAACTGGAAGATTCGGAACAAGTAAGTAATCCAAAGGTCGAAAATGCCAACAAAGTCAAAATATGCCTGTTGGAGCTTTAGGATTTGTCCTGGTGCGAACTTGACAGACGCAAAGACCAATCACTAATTATTCTAACTTGTTATATACCCACGAATACGAGACCAAGGAAGAACACGATAGCGTAGTCGGATGGAATAGTATATTTGGATGGTTATGCCAAAATACCGATGCGTTCCAACTAACTGGCTAGAGAGTCGAATACGAGCAATGCAACGTAACACGACAGCGTGCCAAATGGCGAGGATGCTTGACCGGGTGCCTTCAGCTTAGCGAGTCCAGTTAAACTATCAAGGTCAGCATTAATGTCGAAAGTCGTCAAACCCTAGGCTATTGATTTTGGGGATGTGTATGACGCTACAGAGCTGTCAAAAATCAGCTACCCTTTGTTTTTGGGAAGAAAGACCAAGTTAGAGAATATAGATGGCAGAGGTGCATTACTGAGCGAAGCAGAATCTGTCTTGGATCTTGAAATGATGGAGAATACTTATAGCTCAAATAGATAATCTTGTTTGTTTTTCCTCTGATCTGTGTTCAGTAATGAGGCTTTCGTTTTTGCTCTAGACAACATTTTCAATAGTAACCCTGAATAGAAGTGGTGTCAGGATTTCTCTATGAATAATTCAGCAGCCCACTCTGAGGAATTAGTTTGTGGTTAGCAATTTTCTTTGGTTATTGACTGCACAAATTTCCCTGGTGGCTGTCTGATCTTTGACTTTGTAGTCGATATATTGGGTCTATGCCTATACATTCGTTGATTGCTGTTTGACCTGAATGCTTCTAAAGATTCTCTGTCCATATTCTCTATATTTTCAAAACTGAATTCATGTCTGTAGTTGTCCACATGCATTAATATGAGAAGTTTATGCCGTATTCGACGTCACAGAAAACTACTGCATCCACGAGTGCCTTCGTGTCATGAAGATGCTCATCCTTTACTTTTAACGAGGACCAATTTCAGGGCTAACCTGTGGATACTTCAACCGCGTACATTATTTTTGCTGCAGTTAAGAGTCTTTCAGTTAAATTTGGGTCGAGTTACCGCATGCCGTTGCTTACTGAATGTTCCTGGTTGTGATGATATTGTTTACGCCTCGGTTTAGTGGCTGCAGAGTCTTTCAATCACGTCTGTGTTAAATGGGTTTGCTGAGGTGGTATTATTGATCTGTTGACATATCATTGAATGGATTTACATAGGTGTCGAGAACGAACAGTGTCTGTGCTTTGAACAAATTCCATTACTCAAAAACTGAGCGGTGCCAAAAAAGTCTTGCTGGGGAAAAGGACTTGGTTCCGCACTGTTGATTCTTAGATCCTAGGTGATTGTTAAGTGGGACGGGCGGGACCACTTACATATATATATGACCACGAGATGACCGGCGTAGATACCTCTGTGGTACGTATGGATTACGGGTCCATTCTTAAGCTTTTAAAATACGGTGCTAAGTCATGCCACCACTTCACTCAGTCGTTAACCTAGGAGTTGGTCATCATCTAACACTGGACAAGTGCTAAATGCACACCAAACATAGTAAGGGAATTTTGAATGCTTTGCATCAATAGGGAATACGAACTGACCATTTCGCATTGGTTGTAAAGTCCATATAACATCGTGATCATTCAATTCACCTTATTTCTAAAATAACTGATTGTAGTAGCGTATCACAAGCGGATGTCTTTCAAACATGTACTATGAGCGAAACAATTTGAACCTTCCCTTAATTTGACTTAGTTTTTCTCTTCACGCTATACACCCTCATGAAGGGCTCAAGTTAAAATATGGAAAAATTAACAGCCATCAGTAGTATATTGCATCTGTATGTAGCATGCGTATGACTGAACATGCTGTAAATAAAATATTTCATTTTCCAAGCTTATTCACAAGTTATCACTGAAACCATTTGGAAGACAGATAAGCGAACGAACTCTGCATGTGGACTTTACAATAATGAATAAAATAGATTACATGCAGCATCCTTGGAATAAACACATGATAAGGATCTACAAGTATCTTAAAAGATACGCATATAGTTTTCCTAAAATCTCCTACAGAGGCCGTTATGTTTTCTAAAAGATAGTAGAAAAATAAGCATCTAATTTAAACTAGCCAGTGAGAAATCAGCCTCACCCATAGTGAATTCAAAAAAAGATGAGGTTTGGTTGGATTTATGCCATACTTTTGAGAAATGAATCTTTCTGACAGATGCTCTTCTTGTCAGAGTTTCAACCTCTGAATGTCCTAGTGAATGTAGTGAAGAACTTCGTAAGAACCTTCTCATTGCATGTGACTTACATTTTGACAAAAGTAGGGAAACGCAAATGAGATTTGTTTTGCAAATCCAGTAGCTCATTACAAAGGGAGTTAAAATGTCATCAAATCTAATTAATAAGCATAATGTAATGAAGTAAGTGACATAAGATTTAATATAGTAATAAGAAGATGAGTGCTAAGTGTTTAAACAAGCTGTATCCACTTCTAAACAAGTGACTGAACAAACTTCCCTTGAGAACAGAGTTTAGGGTGTTGAGTACCAATTGTTGTGGCTACGTCAGATCCAGTGGCTTCACTAATGAGATTTTTCGAAACTTTATATATATAGCACTGAAGACAATTTCATAATAATTATTGTCTGGAAATGGCCTATAAACTTTGTGAATATTTACTAAAAACAAACGGAGCTAACCTTGATAGTATAACATCTAGGGATCGACATCCACTAGCTTTTCAACACATACATTTTACGTAAAGTCTTCTATGATCTTGTAAATGTGATTCTCGTTCAAAGCAGTGAGTGTATGCTTACATCCTATACCCTTTCAAGGCGTTTTTCAGAGATTCCAATGAGAGAAACTCAGTGGAACTAAAACCTAAGCTGTTGAGGTGCTATTTCCACTCATAATTAAATTTAGGTAACTCCCTACGGACTTATGCTTTTTATATGACTAAGAAATTTATAGTACCAATCAGATAGTTTATTTCTTTCTATAATTAGAAATAATATCCTATACTGTTTGTTCGTTTCCATTACACACGGTAACCGGTTAAGTGAATTATATAACACAAGAAACAAAATATTCACCTTACTGAATTCAATTTAGCTGGAGAACACCAGACTACAGAGGAATGCATATTACAATTCTCCTTTCTTAAATAACATTTAGTAATTTATTATTACAAAGAGGTGAATGATTCAACAGACCTCTCATGGAGACATACATTATACTTAGTGTTCCTTCACACACTTAATATCTTGCATGACATCACTACTACATAACGAAAATCTCCATTGTTTCCTTACAATTTTTAACATATCTAGTGTTAGTTGCATGGTTAACATGTTTTTCATAAACAACTTCATATCAGAAATACTCTTAATTTTGAAAGTTAATTTGATTCCAACAAATCACACTGCAGCTCTATTTCTAGAAAACATTTCTTTACTCTATAAACCCATTTCCTTTTCAACAAAGTCAATTACATTTCCTTTAATATTTCTTCGTTTCACTTTAAAAAAAGACGGGAAAGAACATCACCAAGCAAGAAAGATCGATCATCGGCAAGTATCTTCACATCAGATCTTGTTGACTTTTCAATTCAATCTCTTATTTTCATTTCTTTCTCTCCTGTTATAAGATATATCAACCGTTTAGCTACATACTTCGAAAGTGTTTCCTCTAAGAAGTCTGTTTCAATTAAGACTACCTTTCATCGTACTGAATGCTTGGTGTGAATAATTCTTAGGTGTTTTTAATAAAATGTTTGTGAATGAAAATCAAGCTCATTGCCTTTTTTTTCAAAATGTATTTCATCTACCAGTTCGAATAAATAAGAGAGAAAACATCGATGCGCAAAATACGTCAATCTCTGTCGATAACACTGAATAATGATTCGACTATAATGTGAATGGATAGCAGCAGCGAAATAAAGACCACTAGATTTCAAAATAGTGATTAAATTGCAACACATGTTTACCTTGAGAAAACTCAGTGTTGGTCTCGATTATCTGTGAAGTGATAAGTGCGCACTGTGGAGGAATCTAACACGAGGTACTGTAACGTATTTATGAGAAGTGAACAACAAACGGCTTATTGCCTTTAACAAAAAGACAAGAAATCCAAGCAAAAGCATAGAAAGGTCGTAATACAATAAAATACTAAAATACAAATGTTTAGATATTCTTGATACGAAATACAATAAATTAACGTGCTGAATTTTACGGCTCAGTAACGGAAAACAAGTAGGATAGACAGAAGTATGTCAATTTCGGAGTGAAAGATGCTGAAGTAATAAATAGTCCAGTATAACTGGTTTGTTAAAACAAAAAGTATGGGACATAAACATCTATTTACTCACCTATGATTTCTATCGCAAATCACATATAATCTATACAAATCTATTTAAGAGATCCTGTAATACGGAAAACCGAAAAACCATTTCACGTAATGACCCGATTACAAACAGAAAATTTCCCACATAAAAATATATAATAGCTTGTCAACAATTAATTATTTACAACAATAGAATTATAGTTTAAATAGATTCAGATTAGAATGAATTACTTGGTAGCCGATTGGTTATAAGTTGAATACTAGAAGTGATTATTATTCATAATCGAAGCTACATGAAATTCAATCAGCAGAATAAAATCAGAGTTAGTTAACATGGAACCAGACAACTACCGGTTCCAATTATGCAAACGTTTTTTTTCATCATTCTCAAATGAACGCCAAAATGATGACAAGAATAATAATGGTAATAAGAAAAAACAAATATAATAAATATACAATATATATTGTAATTTATTAGTATACAATAAAATGAGATAAAATCTCTATATTATAGTTTTTCATACGTTGATTTATAATCACAATCAATACAACATTTATAATAAATGTCCAATTTAGAATCATATTTTTCTGCTCCAAATGTATGCTCATGCGATTTATGCACTTTCATATACAGGCTACTACGTGTTTGAAGTTTTAATTCTAAAACAAGCAAGAAAAAACCATTGTACGTTGATATATATAATGTTTCAAAATTGTTCTACAGTAAATAACAGTAACAAAGATGTTCATTGTGTTATGTACTGTCACATATTTTCTTTATGCAATAGATTAGAAACAGGAAAGAAATTCATAGTAAGAATGATACAAGTAAACATAATGAAAGATCATTTATTACATAAATTGTAATCACTGTTGACAAATATTACAACCTTAGTAAAAATGACTCATATTCATTCTCTAGATGAAATCTCCCTCATCTTTCAATCGCTTTATTGAGTGAATTCCCTAAACGCTTTTACAACTAGTCGATGCATGTTGAACATTGATGAAAAACTATATGCGTATACATGCAGCCGATAGAACTCAATCGATAGGAAATATCTTTTAATGAAAGTCTAGAAAATGCCAAAACCATTGAAAAAAGTATATACATATATAATATTATATTTTATATATATTTCCGCTTGACAATAAACTTTTTTTTCACTTTTGCACCTATAATCTCTTTCCGATGAACCAAACGACCCTCAAGGTTGAATTCTTAAGGTTATTGTTCAAGACTTCATACATGTATCAGCTTCTAACTTTGTATCGACTGACGACAGAGATTATGATACACACATATCTTTTAATCAATTTCAATCTTTGATGGAGAAACGAAAGAAAAAAACATATCCATTTATTCACTAAAAAGAACAAGCTAAGAAGAAGAAATTCTTTTCTATGACTTCTTTATCAAGCTGTACAGTCGTATTTATACTCGGCAAAGTGACAGATAACTGCACTAAAACAGTCACTCAGTCAATATGCAAAATATACAATCGGTGTAGGTGGTAGTATTTGTTCAAGTGGAAGAGATAAGATATGGGTCACTGGAAAAGAAACGAATTGATAATAAGTGGTGAGATAAGAGACACGTGCTGTCAAAAAATTGTAAAACGGTGATAATTAAGCTGAAACATGTAAAATAGGTCAATGAATAAGGAATGAACTAATATTAAAAAGTGAAATATGGGTCAAATATTGTCAATGAAGTGAAAATTGGTGATAATGATGATGATAATGATAAAAGAGAAGTATACCAATATGAACTGAAAATTGACAAAATCAACAAAATGAACTGTTAAGGCCAAGGTAGAGAAAGTATTTTCACAAAACGTTTTAGAATGCAAAGTTTCGATTTTTGTTCATGCTTCAGCTATGTTAACAATTCGTTTCTTTTTCAATGACCCATTTTCTATCTCTTCCACTTGAACAAATACCACCACCTATACCGATTGTATATTTTGCACTTTGATACATGCCTTGTTCTTGTTAATGAAAAAAACAAACTAAACGGACAACTTTAAGAACTATAGACAGTTGAAAAGCTGTCGACCACACAGCTAAAATCAAGATCAGTAGAGCGTGACGTACCTCAGAAGGATTACGTTATTTCTTCAATACAAGAGTTTTTCAGTCAAAACATTAAAATAATGATTTCAAGAAAGTGACTATGTATTTCTTTTGACCTGAAAACGTATCAAAAGCCCATTTTCATTTGAGATAAACAGGACATAGTAGAACATGATCGTTTCATTAAATCTCTACTACCAAGGAATCTAATGGATTATTCTTTTGATGAAATAGTCTAAATACCATAACAAATATTTGGAAAGTAATCATGTCTGTTCAGTGTCAGATATCATTGTCTGAATCTTGTAGAAGAAAGAAATGGTGAATGGGTCAAGCATGCATACAAGGTTAAAAAAGAATATGAATGAATTACATTTCCATCCATGACAGGAGATCAGTTCACATGTCTTAATTTAAGCAAATACTTGATATATTGGTCACAATGGCGCAGATACTACACATGATGGTGGGTTAGTTGCCGATGAGATTTCGGCACGGATACAAAAGGCTCGATTGGCTTTTGCCAATTTGCGCCACCTATGGCGCCGCCGTGATATTCGTTTGTCTATTAAGGGTCGCGTGCACTGCACAGCAGTCCGCTCTGTTCTACTGTATGGCTGTGAAACATGGCCACTGAAAGTAGAGGATACAAAAAGGCTTCAGGTGTTTGACCACCGTTGCCTTCGTAATATAGGACGTATTCCGTGGTGTCACTACGTGAGTAATGCAGAAGTCAGGTGTAGAGTTTTGGGGAGAAGAGGTAAGTCAGTCGACGAGGTTGTGAACCTTCATCGACTGAGATGGTTGGCACACGTACTACGTATGCCTAGTCACCGATTGCCTCGTCACACAATGTTGGCTGAGGTGGGTTCAGGCTGGAAAAAGGCCCCAGGTGGCCAGACTAAAACATGGCACCAATGTATGAAGTCTCTGACTGTTGGTTTAAGCCATGTAGGACGATGCAGACTAGGTGGTTGGGGTCCACGGGACAAGAGAAACCAGTGGTTGGAGACCCTAGGTGATATGGCTCAGAACCGAAGTCAGTGGCGCAGATGTATACATACATTATCCTCATCTTAACAACGCTATACCGAATCCCACCATTTTGTCACTCCTCTTTCTTTTCTTTTCGTACTTTATATTTCTTTTGACTGCATTCACTTATCTTCATCCTTCGCCTCACTACCTTTTTACTTGATGTGCTGATATGAGGTGTGGCAACTCGGACCGTTACGCAGTAATGCCTGGTCCTATGTTGATAATGATGATGATGATGGCGCAGATGTATTCATCCTTGAGGTTTTATTTATTTTATTTACCTTTACTTTCTTCTCCCACACACATTAGTTCACTATAATGTCATTCTTTCGATTGAATTCTTCGTTGTAAGTTGCTATGAAGTGTCGCAACTTGAAACGATGCACTTTTATGCGAGAACATTATGCAGAATATCAAAGATCATGAGCATAAAAATTCCAGAGAAAATCTAAATGATGAGTCTTGGATTAGCGCAAGAGATCTACCTTTCCGTCAAGATACAACTGGAGAATTACAAAGGATTTTAAGCAAACGCCAACCAGAAAGCTACAAGACAATCAACATTTTTTGGAAAACTATACCCATAGCACAAGAAGTGGCTATCATGGCTCGGTGGTCTAGTGGATAACGTGCTGGCGTTTGAAGCGATAGCTCCCGAGTCCGAATCCCGGTGGGAACATCATTCACTGGGAAGCAGGTACATCCAGCTGATGAGTCCCAAATAGGACGAAATGCGCATCCTGGATTCCACTGCTAGCCACGATCCATCCTTAATTCTTTGGAATAATTTAGTAAACTTCAAAGATAAAACTCTTTTTACCTCTACATATTAGACTATGCTGATTGTGATGCCTATTATATTGGGGAATCACTGCATAAAATCGTACTTGGAGCTCAACAGTATGCTAACTACACAAAGCAACACATCCAAGTAATCCTGTAGAATTGACGAATTTACAAGTCAAATGTGTTGTTGCTATTCATACCATATTTCATAGTCACAAAATTAACATTGAAAATGCCAAATTATTATTCAGAAAGGATTTCCAAATCATAAGGGGAAAAAGATAGCTGAAGCATTTCACACTCTGTAGGAAGGTCTAACTATTCAACCAATTTGGATAGTATATGCGAAATAGAACTTAAGTAGTAAAGTACAATCAAAACAAACTGAATTTCTCATTCACCTTAACTTTCTTATACATTTATCCGCATATTATCATTTTCATGAGCATGTATAAACACAGTGTTTTGATTAGTTACTATTTTCTGCTTAATGAACAAGTGGTAGCTTCCCTGAGGTTGGAAAATGTCAGAAGTTAATTTTTCTACCTTATCAAGATTTTGCGAAAATATTTTCTTTATGAAATATATTTCCAACACTTAACTTGGTCAATTTTATCAGGTTAAATTTTGGTCATGAAGTCTAAAAAACCAATAAATTTGTTTCAATGAACTTGTTAGCTGCCAAATCGACTTTTATCAAAGCGACCTCTTTTATAGTAGAACCTTTTAGTTACATTTCTAAGCTTAACTTTTATTCGTTAATTTTTCACTGTATGATTTAAGTTTTATCAGATGTGACAGTAGTCTTACTAACTTTTTAATATTTTGCTGCAAATCAGAGATGAGAGACTGGCTGGTATGCACTAGACTATGAAACACATTTGCAGCGTAAAAGCTTATAATTTGAGAAGTTTGCTTAGGGTTAGGGTAGACAGATCCATATTTAATCCAAAGACCCATTGCTTACAAGTTGAGTGGTGGACATGTCGAACCGGCTTAGATGATGACTATGTAATGATGGAATTTGTAATGCACAATCCTCTGTGGTTTATGATGTTATAGTTCATATATAAAAACGCATAACGTGTACAATATCGAACTACAACATTTCTTGACTTTTATTCACTAAGATACTCAGGAAGAGGAACATCAAGTCGTGGAGTGTGATAAATTCAGTCACAAAGCACAAAAGAATATTTTCTTATTGAGGTGTATAAAATTATTATTATTATTATTAAATAAATAAATAAGTACTTTTATTCTCAGGTTAGGAATTTAACATGACAGAAGCCGGTTAAATTATTATTATTTGTCTCCTGGGTTGCTAGTGGAACATAGGGCCACAGTAGCACGTCACCATTTCACTTTCTCCACTGTAGTCTTTTCAACCTGGCTCCACCACAAACTTTTATTTCTTCCTTACATCATCTCCTCCATGTCACCCTCGCACGTCCAACTAACCGTTTCCCACTTGGATTCCACTCGACGGCCTGGTCAGGCGCGTGATATCTCCGAATGGTCTCAGCGTATGCCCAATTCAATCCACTTCCACTTTCATCTGCATATTTGTTGGGAGATGGGTTCTTGGTTGGTTCGTTGCCAGCTAGAGTGAGTTCCTTGTTGCTTATTCTTATTATTCTGGTCATCTGAGTTTCAGTAACGAGCGCAGGCGGCAGTTGTTGATGAATATCTGTAGTTTGTTGGAAATACTTTTCTTGACGCTTCAAGTTTCTGAACCATATAGAAGCACTGACTGACTTGACGTTGGTGTTGAAAATCCGGATCTTGTTCTTTATGGTGAGTGCAGTAGATCTCCACATTGGTTTCAGATTAATGAAGGCCTGTCTCGCTGTCTTTCCGATCCTGGTTTTGACATCCACGTCTGTGCCGCCGCCACCTGCAGTTGAAACGATGCAGCCTAGGTGGGTGAAACAGACTATTTCCTTTAGGTTTCTCCCGTTCTTGGTGATTTGTGCTTGTTGTTGCTGGTTGGGTAAATCATCGGCAAAGTCCAAGTCTTCGAGGGTCTTTTCATCGGTCCAGCCAGCGTAAGCCCATCTTCTCGCTCCTCACGGTTTGCTGCATGATCCAGTCCACCACCACAATCAGGAAGATCATCAATGATAGTAGGTGGCAACCTTGTCTTTACTTCTGTTTTCGCATCGAATGCACCACTGAGCTTTCCACTGTGGATTATTTGGCATGCGGCGTCTTCATATTTCTGTTGAATGAGGTTGATAGAGGTTTGCGTCAGTAAAACCGTAGTGTTGAAGCAGCTGTTTGCCAAATTACTTCTCGGTCGATGCTGTCGAAGGCCTTTAAAAAAACGATGAAGTTGAGGTAGAGAGTTGACGGTAATTCTATGCTCTGTTCTATGATGATGCGTAGTGTAGCGTTGCAACTTGATTCGCATATGATTTTTTTCTTCCTGAATCCAGCTGTTCCGGTCGTAATTTTGAATCTAGCCCATCTTTTAGTTTCTCCAAGATGATGCGTCTTAATATTTCGCTTGGGGTGAACAGGAGCATGATTCCTCGCCAGTTCTTGCAAAGGCTAAGGTCTCCCCCTTTGGTAATTTGACAAGATAGCCCTTCTTCCAATCTGCGGGTACTTCTACCTTTCAAACCTTCTACAATAGTGGTGCGAGCGTGTCCACTGTTGTCTCTGCACTCCTTTCTAGTGCTTCTGGCGGAATTCCAGATTGTCCTGCTGCTTTCTCAGATTTCCGGAATTCTAGGGCATTACAGACTTCACTTCTGAATTTGTCGGAAGGCTTCTGTTCACCGATAGTTCCGCAGCGGCTGGCGGCATTTCCGAACGAGTTGCAGTTGGTGGCCGATTCAAGAGATTTTTGAAGTCGTCAGCCCAACGTTTTCTTTGGTTATCCTCTTTGCTAACTAGGCATCCTTGACTATCTTTCAATGGTTTCATCTGCGCTGACCTCCACCCAGATATTAACCTCGTTATTTGATATAGTGTTGTCAGGTCTCTCCTACCTCCAGGTTGTTCTGCCTCACTTCCCAGTGTATCATAAGACTGTCTTCTGTCTTTCCGCAAACTCCTCTTCACTTCCTTGTCCACTCCAGTGTTATATACATCGGGTTCAGTTCTTCGTTTCATTGTCCATCCCTGCACTGTACTGCACTGCACTGCACTGGTTCATCTTCCGCTTCACCATCTTCCTCTCCATCCTCTTTCAACCTCCATATATCCCTCAAGATCCGTTCCCTGTCCTGTCTTCTCTCTTCCTCCTTCCTAACACACTTATGCAGCTTTCTTTCCACATCTCTTTCAAGGAGTTACAGTGCTCCACCCTTCAGGTTTCTTCTGCGATCTTCCGCAATATCTCCCATTTTGTTCTCATGACACTGACTGACGTGAAGATGTCCTTCGAAGTATCGTCCTTCACTTCAATTTCATTTCTGCACATTGAACTTGAACTGTGACCTATCACCAACATCTCTAAAGCCTTTCAACTTCATTCTGAACGTTCCATGCACTAGATAGTCAGTGCTCTGAACCTACATCTGCTCACCTTCATCTGATCTTCTGTCCAGTAGGCTGCGTCTCCACCTCCATCACATTGAAATGATGTCAATCTGATTTTCAGTATCTTCATCTAGTCAAATCAAATCCATTTCGCTCGCTTTATGAATATCCTTGTATTGTACACACTACCTCCAATCACCAAATCGTTGAATGCACAGAAGTCTGCAAACAGTTCTCCATTCTCATTCATCATTTCACCCAGTGCTTCCCGACTCATCATCACTTCTCTTCCTGAGTTGTCCGCTCCCAGTTTGCCATTCATGTAATCTCAACCATTACAATTTTCATGTCTTGTCCAGTGTTGATTGCAGTTGTCTGTAGAATTCCTCCTTCTTCTCTTCATCTCCATTATTTGTAAGTCCACAGCGTAGCATTGTATGGTTGTCACTTTACTTCCTCTTGAGTTGAATCTTGCTGTCAGAATCCTGATGCTGGAGGAGATTGCTTCCCACTACATGAGAAAGAGCCTTCGATGCTCTTGGAGACATCATGATAACCACTCGAAAACCCAGTGTGCTCGTCGATGTCGTCTGGGTGACAATATCGGAGTACATTATTCACTCTCCTCTCCACTTCACAGTTAGGAGAGTCAACTTCCATTCTATCTGCTTTCGCAGATTCCTACCACTATATCATTTCATCTCATTTCTTTTGTGATCTGGACAGTCTTGCCAGTCAGCTTTAAACACTGTGTGGACATTCCATGTCCCCATGTTTACTTTTGCTTTCATCGAGAGGAGACATATCGACCAATTGGCTTCCCGAAGTCCTGCACCAACCGGTGTCACTTCGTCTCCCCGATTCCAGGGAGGAATAAGCTTGTTTTTATTTTCTATAATTTTTTGTGCTTTGAAGTTTGTTTGGAGATTGGATTGGTTTTCCGGGGTAGGGTTGTAGCCGTATGTCCAATTTTCCCTCTTTATCCGGGCTTAGGACCGGCTAGTAACTACTGTACTAGTCACCTAGGCGAGGTTGAGGCGTATAAAAAAAAACCTCTGTGAATTGACAAATAACTCGCATACCGTGATAGAACTGCCTACACCAAATATTACAATATTTTGGGATATTGGTTTTGCTAAGTTAATCTCAACATTCCCCTTTGTTAATAAAGAAAAAATTACCTTTAACTTTTTTACTATAACTTTTCAGCTTAGATTCTTCATTACGCTTAAGTCGTCTTTCACGTTCTTCTTCCAAGGCTTCTTCACATCCCCATATTTCTAGAGCACGTTCAGCAATCTAGATGGTATGTATTTATTTTGTAAAATAAAACAGGATAATACAATAAGACTTCTCAGTAAATTTAAACTGCAGAAAGTGTTTTAACAAGTAAATGTGATCAGATAGACTAAACAATCTTCAGACAAACTTAGTCTTCTTGATACATTTTGCAAAATTTACGATTATTACATACAAAATTGAATAATTCTGAATTATTTTAGGCTTAAAGAGAACTTGATTGTGACTAGCAGAAGAATCCAGGACGCATGCTTGAGGACTAGCAAATAAACGGAAATTAAGGTAACTCAACTGCACTGTAGTGACCTTAGATTCGCATATAGATATAATAATGATGATAACAATAGTATGAGAAATCACAAGAAGCGACCACTTGTTCTTAGGCTATCATCTGGTCTGATGAGGGAAATGAATAGAAAAGTGTATGTAAGTTTAGTGGCGGTAGCTCAATAATGAGTAGGAAATAAAATGTGCACTTTGAGCTAACTATTTTAGGATGTGCTATTATTTGTCCTTGATATAGTTTATCAAATAAAGCCGTTATCGTCCTTGCCGTCACATGTCAGCCTTTTTACTTTGATATTTGCATGACTCAGTGAAGAATAAGGTACTGAGGAGGAATACTCATACTGGCATGCAGTCCTAGTGTACTACTGTGTTCAGTATCATTATTACCAAAGTCTATATTCCACTCAGTCACTTCATTTGGTGACAGGTATTTTACAATGTCTATTCTACTGGACGACTACAACAAGCTCAGAATGAAGCAGCTCAACCGAAGCTTATTGAAAATCTAACTCGGAAGTTGTTCATTCAATCACCATATTTGGTTGAGAAGCCAAAACTGTTCTCAATGCAATTAAACTTAAGCGAAAAGAGAATGTGCAAAAGAACAGAAAAATGCAAAACTAGTTCAATCGCCATCATGGGGCGATAAGCCGAGAATTTTGATCAAATCAATAGGTTTGGTGTGTGCGTGTGTGATTTTCACTTTTTACCAACAAAATGAATTCGTGGGCAAGTAGTCGGACGTAACACAAATGTCATGTACAAAGTGAATGTAGAAGGATAGACTTGGGTCCAAAATGTAAAACACATGCCAAATTCAGCAGATAACAAGCAGCAGGACTTCATGCTTGGAGTTTTACTAAATACCTTCGATATACTGTCGCTAGAAACATAAGAAGCAGATCAAACTCAACTGGTTCCAACTCGTAGATCACTTCGACACCGAAGATGAAAGTCGTTTCAAATTGACCCAAAAAAGAAAACAACTTTTACGGGGGGAGATGATAGGAAGTGACCAAATATGGTAATCAACCTTCAAGATCGGCAGCCGTTGGGGCAGAAATGCTTTTAGTCCACATTTTGATTTATGTCTATATATGGACAAAATGACTTTATTGGATGATTTGGTAGCCAATGAGATGTGTCATTCTATCTTTAACTCAGGACATTTTTTGTATGCGTGGGACTTATACATATATGCCATAGTTTATCAAATAAAGTTGTAATAATTCTTGCAGTCACATGTCAGTCTTTGTACTTTAGTATTTGCATGACTCAGTGAAGAACAAGGTACTGAGGGGAATACTCATACTGGCATTCAGTCGTAGTATACCACTGAGTTCAGTATCAATATTACCTACGTCTATATTCCACTCAGTTACTTCAGTTTGATAGCTTACTGCTATCTACTGTGACGTGTTTTCTTTAGATTACTGTTAATATGTAAAACTACAGCTTGACAAAAAACTGGAAAATGCATAAGGGTACACATAATACGTTTAAAGATATATTTTATAGGTAAAAACATGTTGAAAAACAGCATTCTCATGTGATATATTCGGCGTGAAATTTTTAGTAGCCTAGCGTTCAAAATATACCGCTTGTTATCGTCTAAGGCTTAATGCTACTATGTGACTGTTTTTAAATTGATGTGTGTATGAGGCGGTGAAATGAGACGCAGGTACAATAACGATACTGAAACTAATAAGACCCTTGAACTAAGTACCATAACGGCTGTTCATAGTGTCAAAAAAATATTAGAAAACAGAAAATAGTTTGTGACTACACGGACGATTTCATTCGAAAAAGCAAATCTCATATATACAGTTTTCACAGGCATAAAAATCCACTAGGTCACTAGTTTGATTAGCTCCATGAAGTACAAAATTTTCCAGTAGAATTTATTCTTACCAAACAGTATCATAGATTAAAATTTGAAGCTCAAAAATTTCTAAAAAGTGTTGATTCTTATTTTAGCTACTTCCTCTCATATAAAAAGAGGTTACAATTCATGACTCATTGACAGGAAATTGAATGCATAGAACTAATGTGTCATGTATGACACATTTACTCATAATTTTGTTAGAATGCATGAACATAAAGGTAGCTTGCGAGCCAGTTGATGGCATTTGGAAAGAAACTTTGATCAACCAAGGGTTTTGTGTTGCTAGCACCCGTCGGCAAGGTACATCTATCTCCTTTGAGATTCCTACCTCCGTCACTTAGGGCTGAAGTCAGAGACATTATCAGTATGAAATTTAGGTTATCTCATGATTGACCTCCTGTAAAGTTGGATCAGATACATTGATTGGTTACTTGCGTGTAATCAATACCATGTTGTACAGTCCCAGATGCTAATAGTATTTCATCGAGGTTACATACAAAGATATCTAAAGAACTAAATACTGATATACTTTACAAGAGTGAAACTTTTACATTCAAACTACAGTTTGAAGGTGGTTTAGTGTTTTCCGAGCTTCGATATTTTGTCATGAACCTCTCATCACCAGGCTTGGTAACATCTTCAGCACTAACTTCAGAAAACAAGTGAAGCATATTCGATTCTTACACAGACTTTTACTCACCTCAAATCTTGTCAAATTGTAAATTAGGGAAAAGATTTTTACCACATATTGACCTTAAATGTCTTTTAGGCACATTAGTAGATAATCTTTGTTGGAGTGAAATTGCTCTATTTTTTGTTGCCACATTGTGCATTATTATTGATTTGTCCAGTCAATCTGTTCCTGCTTGATAGATAGCTATTTTTCTTCCTAAGTACATTATAGATTGAGTCTGAATGGTATACTTCTAGAAATTCTCTTCCAGCTTTTGAACCTGAACTTTGTAGGATTTCCACATTCTGCTAATCGAATCTGTGATTGTGATTGTCTGCGTGCATCGAAACGAAGGAGGCCATGTCATGTCTCTTTACTGTTAGTTAGTGTTCATGAATTATTTGAATAATCCAACGACTGGACTGGTCAACATAGTGTTGCGAACAATCTAGTGAAAATCAACACCTACTGAATCTAAAAGAAGTTAATGCAGTGAAATCACAAATGACCGAGAAAATTGTAATATTACCTTTGGATAAGAGAAGGAAAACAGTTATCATGAGCAAAACGGACTGTCAAAAAAGCACAAGAATTACTAAAGGACGAAAATGTGTATCAACCACTAGACCACTGGACTTGCAAACTAACAAAAGGGATGATTGCTCTCGTAGTTCAAAATTTGATTAGTATATGTGGCTTTTCTGTATACTTGAGTTTTCAAAGTCTCATCGTGTGCTCTACTGATGAGGACGTCTAAGAATATTATTTTGTTGGTAGCATCCTCCTCATTTATGAAGTGATTGCATCCAAATGTTTGGTTGATTGGCGTGAATGTACTTTCCATTTCATCTTCAATATGTTGTCAACGTACCGGATGCAAATTTTTGACGTGACGAGAGTGATGACTATTGATTCTAGCCACTCCATCACAGCTTCAGCAATCAATCCTAATATTAGCATTCCCAGATGTGTCTGAAAAATTGAATTCTAGGTAGGTCGTGAGACACAGATCGACTAACTCAATTACGTTTGGAACCGTAAGCTCCGTATAACCAGAAAGGGTTTATTCGTTCTTCAGAAGAATATCCATCATCTCCTCGGTTAGGTTTGAGTCGATTAAAGTCACATCAGAGGACATCATTCGTTCATCACTACCTATTTTTTAATCTTCTATTTTGTCCAGAAATTCATTTGCTGAACTGACTGGGCGTTCACTTCCATTGACGAAGTGCTTTAATTTTCTATAAATAGGTTGAATGAAGGTGTTCCAGGTAGTGAAACTATTGATCATAGTGGAATATCTATCTTATGTATCTTGGGTCGACCGTAGAACCTCAGTCGAACCTTGGTCCGTTTGTCTTCATCTGACATTAATCTTAGTTGATTTAATTGGCTTTTACTAAACTTCTCAGTTTAGTTGTGATCTGTTCATTTGGATTCTGGTCCAGTGGTTGATACACATTTTCGTCCTTTAGTAATTCTTGTGCTTTTTTGACAGTCCGTTTTGCTCATGATAACTGTTTTCCTTCTCTTATCCAAAGGTAATATTACAATTTTCTCGGTCATTTGTGATTTCACTGCATTAACTTCTTTTAGATTCAGTAGGTGTTGATTTTCACTAGATTGTTCGCAACACTATGTTGACCAGTCCAGTCGTTGGATTATTCAAATAATTCATGAACACTAACTAACAGTAAAGAGACATGACATGGCCTCCTTCGTTTCGATGCACGCAGACAATCACAATCACAGATTCGATTAGCAGAATGTGGAAATCCTACAAAGTTCAGGTTCAAAAGCTGGAAGAGAATTTCTAGAAGTATACCATTCAGACTCAATCTATAATGTACTTAGGAAGAAAAATAGCTATCTATCAAGCAGGAACAGATTGACTGGACAAATCAATAATAATGCACAATGTGGCAACAAAAAATAGAGCAATTTCACTCCAACAAAGATTATCTACTAATGTGCCTAAAAGACATTTAAGGTCAATATGTGGTAAAAATCTTTTCCCTAATTTACAATTTGACAAGATTTGAGGTGAGTAAAAGTCTGTGTAAGATTCGAATATGCTTCACTTGTTTTCTGAAGTTAGTGCTGAAGATGTTACCAAGCCTGGTGATGAGAGGTTCATGACAAAATATCGAAGCTCAGAGAACACCAGATCACCGTCATGGTCATTTTGAGCTACAAATCATTTCCATCAGTTCACCTACAGTTTACCAGTAGTCAAATTTCCATTTCATTTAGATGTACTGTCACAACATCCTGTTAACATGATCCATTAATCTCCTGGATGTTGACATACGATTGCAACAGGAAATGTTCATCTAACAATATTTTGTTAACAATGAGCTAACATGCATAGTAACCTCCACCATTAGGCTAAACGTTTAGAGTGAACAGCTTTACAAAATCGTCGACTTCGCACTGTTATTGTGATCTTTTTAACAAAAAGACAAATATTCACAACGTATATCCATGAAAATGATGATTACCTGTGCCTCTAAATATAAACGCATATCTCCCCAACTTGAATTATGTGGATTACGTTTCAGTAGATAATTCAATTTAGGCTCACGCTTATCCAAATCAACATCATTTAATAGATAGCGTTCTTTAGCTGTACTTTTGGTAATTAAAGCATGGATGTTTTTCGGATCCCTACAGAAAAATATAGAAGCATGTATACAAATATAGTTTGAAGTTAATTTTAACCATGAACTGGAAGTACAAATCATATGTGGACCAAATTACAACGTTACACTACGCATCATCATAGACTGCCATTCTATACTAGAGTATAAAATGGCAGTTAACTCAACCTCAACTTCACCAACTTTGAAAAAACCTTCAACACCGTCAACCGAGAAGTCATTTGACAACTGCTTCAACACTACAGAATACCACAAACCTCCATCAACCTCATTCAACAACTATGTGAAGACGCCACATGCCAGCCAAGTAATTCACAATGGAAAGCTCGGTGATGCATCTGAAGTGGAAGTGAAGACACGAGTAAGACAAAGCTGTCTACTGTCACCTATGATCTTCTTGATTGTGGTCGACTGGATCATGCAGCAAACTGTGAGGAGCGAGAAGAGGGGGATACGCTGGACTGCGGAAAAGATCCTAGAAGATTTAGATTTTGCCAATGACTTGTGTCTAATGTCACACAAACTCGAAGATCTATAGGCGAAATCCAACAAGTTGACAGAAGAGGTAGGGCAGCGAAGGAAGATGGGACTTCCTTCAAATGAACGTAGAGAAGACAGAGGTGATGAAGATACTCAACCACCACCACCACCAACAACAACAACAAGCACCAATCACCATCAGCGGGAAAAATCTAAAGGAGGTTGTCTCTCTCACATACCTAGGCAGTATCGTTTCAACTACAGGCAGTGGCACACACCAGGATGTCAAAGCAGCCAGGATCAGAAAGACAGCAACACAGGTCTCCAATAATCTGAAACCAGTGTGGAGATCTACTGCACTGCACTCACCATAAAGCGTGAACAACATCCTGATTTTCAACACCTATGTCAGTCAAGTCAGTGCTTCTGTGTGATGGGTCAGAGAGTTGGTGTGTTACGAAAAGCATTTTCAACAAACTACAGATATTCATTAACAGCTGCCGTCTACGCTCGTTACTGAAGATCAGATGGATTACCAGAATAATAAGAATAAGCAACAAGGAACTCACTCTAGTTGGCAACGAACCAACCAAGAACCCATCGCCCAACAAATATGCAGAAGGAAGTGGAGATGGATTGGGCACACACTGAGAAGATCATTCGAGGACATCACGCGTGAGGCCCTCAAGTGGAGCCCAAATGGGAAACGATGACTTGGGTGTCCGAGGGTGACATGGAGGAGATCGTGCGAAGAAGAAATGAAAGGTTGTGGGCAGTTATGGAAGCAGGCTCAAAAAACTGCAGAGAACAGAGTGAAATGGCGATGTGCTACTGAAGCCCTATGTTCTACTAGGAACCCAAGGGACAAATAATAATAATTTAACTATGAATTAACATCAGTAAGAGAATTTACTGAAAACCAAGAAACACTTAACACATGTTCCCGATCAGTCCATATTGCTCACCATCCACGAGATGAGACGTGGATTCAAGGAACTTCAAAACTTGTGGTGTGAACAAGCCGCTTAGTTGAGGAAATAAAACCGCTTCTGTTTAGAAATAGCTTTCAAGATAGATCTTCGGATGTTATAATTGGAACAATAACCTGTAGGGTCGATCATTTTGAAAATATGTATATATTCATTGGTGGTTCTGAATAAACGCTGTACGATGTTGCAAATTGACTGCGATTGGAAAGCCCAACTCAACAGATTGTGACCCAACATCAGAATGACGATGTACTAGCTTTAAAGCTAGAATATCCTATGGTTACATGGGAGAAGTCTTAACGTGAAGCAGAAACACAATCTAGTGTTTTAAGGGCTTCAGGGATTCCCCCTCTGATCTAGTTTATTGATGGAGAATATCCCAGAAACAGCTCTAGTAATCTATTATATACCTATTTCTAAACTGTCCAAGGTGTGTAGGAACACTGTGATGTGGTCATACGTACATAGTCTTTAGCAGGTAATTCCTATTTACTGTCCTTCTCACTGCGGGAATGTTTTCATGAAAGAGAGAGGATGAACATGGATGTTCGACAGTTATCACCCGACTGATGGTAATAAAGAGTTCACTTATGGAAGTTAAAAAGTCTTAGATTCAATGGTGTCCTAATCTCTAAGACCCAAAGCGGATTATTAATGTCAAAATCTACTTACGGCAACAGTAATCATGGGAATGTAGCTCTAGACGTTGTTTCGAAGTCCTGTGGACTTATTTTTAGGCTAAATGTTCATAGAATGGTACCCCGAAATTGCCACTCATTTCGGTACTGGTATCCGAGTAGTATCTAAACCTGTGAAAACCGTGGGATGATAGTTAGAAATATATACTTAAAAATGTTGGCTTGCATTTCAAGATTCAATTGAAGAAATTTTCTATTTCTCAAACCGACCAATCTCTAGAAACAGTGTAACTAACTTCATCTGCAAAATTTTAATCCTAAGGTATACAACAACAAGGCAGTTGGTTAACAGAATTTACGTATGGATGGTTTAGACTTCTTTAATGAACAATTGGTTCGAGCCTCGTTGGGAACAACATCACTCACTGGGATGCAGGTATATCCAGCTGACGAGTCCTAAATAGGACGAAACGTGCGTCGTCAGTTCCTCTGCTAACCACCAAGATCAGTATAACACCATGAATATCCAGCAGCATTCAGGCATCCGCGTGGGAGCCCATCTGCCAACAGAGGTCGAGCAATTCGGCCCTATATAGCAACGGGAAATTACAAGTATCATTTAAAAATCAACATAATTTATCTGAGAATACTAGAATGCGACCGGACTTTATGATGTTAGATATTAGAACTCAATGCAAATGTTTACAATCACAGTTACTAAACTTATTGAAAAGAGTGTTATTTGTCAAGCAGTTAACGATTTCCTGAAGATACTGTAATCGATGGTTGCCATCTAAGAACAACTGAAGACAACGCTATTTAAGAGTAATGTTATAATGAGTTCATATTCAAAACACGACTGGAAAATAAAGAAAACAGAAAGAAACCTGAAGATTACTCAACTTTTCACTTTGACTGAGTAAAACCAGAAATATTAGAGAACATCCAGCTGAGATAATAAGAAAAAAGGTATTCAAAGTAATCTATCAGTCCAGCTACATCAAAATAATGATAAGATAGAAAGGATTCCATAGTTTTTGTAGTTCAGCCCCAAAATTTAGACTTAAACTTCATGCACCAAAAAGTTTTTATGAAATATTTGATAATAAACACTACCACTCTTACAATAAACACCCTTTTATAAGTGCAAGAAAAGAGCGGATAAGTAACTAAATTATTGTAGGATTTTAAACAGTCAAAGATTCCCATAATATTGATGAAAAGCAACAATCTAGACGAAGAATATTTCTTTTCAATAATCTCTCATCAGGTTCTACAATGATAAAATACAATTGTACAGCGTGAAATCAAACCAAGTTATGGGCAAATACATTCCAGTGAGTGTAGGGAAATCGATTTATCTCCTTTAAATTAGTCAATATTGGAATAATACATATACAAATGAGATGATAGTGAGAAAAAGGATAACGAATAAAAAGGCAGGAACAGCCTTTAGTTTACTGAAGACCATTATTATTATTTATCCCTTGGGTTCCTAGTAGAAAATAGGGTTTCAGCAGAACGTCGCCATTTCACTCCGTCCACTGCAGCCTTGTCAACCTAGCACCATCACTGAACACAAGCTTTCATGTCTTCCTCACATCATCTCCATGTCACCCTCGCACGTCCAACTAATCGCTTCCCTTTGGATTCCACTCGATGGCCTGGTCCGAGGCGCATGATGTCTCCGAACAGCCTTCTCAGTATATGCCCAATCCAATCCACTTCCACTTTCTTCTGCATATTTGTTGGGAGATGTGTTCTCCGTTGGTTCGTTGCCAGCTAGAGTGAGTTTTTTGTTGCTCATTCTTATTATTCTGGTCATCTGATCTTCAGCAACCAGCGTACACGGCAGCTGTTAATGAGTGTCTGCAGTTTGTTGAAAATCCTTTTCGTAGCACGCCAGGTTTCTGAACCAGATTGGAACCTGGTCATTTGATATAGTGTTGTCAGGTCTCTCCTACCTCCAGGTTGTTCTGCCTCACTTCCCAGTGTATCATAAGACTGTCTTCTGTCTTTCCGCAAACTCCTCTTCACTTCCTTGTCCACTCCAGTGTTATATACATCGGGTTCAGTTCTTCGTTTCATTGTCCATCCCTGCACTGTACTGCACTGCACTGCACTGGTTCATCTTCCGCTTCACCATCTTCCTCTCCATCCTCTTTCAACCTCCATATATCCCTCAAGATCCGTTCCCTGTCCTGTCTTCTCTCTTCCTCCTTCCTAACACACTTATGCAGCTTTCTTTCCACATCTCTTTCAAGGAGTTACAGTGCTCCACCCTTCAGGTTTCTTCTGCGATCTTCCGCAATATCTCCCATTTTGTTCTCATGACACTGACTGACGTGAAGATGTCCTTCGAAGTATCGTCCTTCACTTCAATTTCATTTCTGCACATTGAACTTGAACTGTGACCTATCACCAACATCTCTAAAGCCTTTCAACTTCATTCTGAACGTTCCATGCACTAGATAGTCAGTGCTCTGAACCTACATCTGCTCACCTTCATCTGATCTTCTGTCCAGTAGGCTGCGTCTCCACCTCCATCACATTGAAATGATGTCAATCTGATTTTCAGTATCTTCATCTAGTCAAATCAAATCCATTTCGCTCGCTTTATGAATATCCTTGTATTGTACACACTACCTCCAATCACCAAATCGTTGAATGCACAGAAGTCTGCAAACAGTTCTCCATTCTCATTCATCATTTCACCCAGTGCTTCCCGACTCATCATCACTTCTCTTCCTGAGTTGTCCGCTCCCAGTTTGCCATTCATGTAATCTCAACCATTACAATTTTCATGTCTTGTCCAGTGTTGATTGCAGTTGTCTGTAGAATTCCTCCTTCTTCTCTTCATCTCCATTATTTGTAAGTCCACAGCGTAGCATTGTATGGTTGTCACTTTACTTCCTCTTGAGTTGAATCTTGCTGTCAGAATCCTGATGCTGGAGGAGATTGCTTCCCACTACATGAGAAAGAGCCTTCGATGCTCTTGGAGACATCATGATAACCACTCGAAAACCCAGTGTGCTCGTCGATGTCGTCTGGGTGACAATATCGGAGTACATTATTCACTCTCCTCTCCACTTCACAGTTAGGAGAGTCAACTTCCATTCTATCTGCTTTCGCAGATTCCTACCACTATATCATTTCATCTCATTTCTTTTGTGATCTGGACAGTCTTGCCAGTCAGCTTTAAACACTGTGTGGACATTCCATGTCCCCATGTTTACTTTTGCTTTCATCGAGAGGAGACATATCGACCAATTGGCTTCCCGAAGTCCTGCACCAACCGGTGTCACTTCGTCTCCCCGATTCCAGGGAGGAATAAGCTTGTTTTTATTTTCTATAATTTTTTTGTGCTTTGAAGTTTGTTTGGAGATTGGATTGGTTTTCCGGGGTAGGGTTGTAGCCGTATGTCCAATTTTCCCTCTTTATCCGGGCTTAGGACAGGCTAGTAACTACGGAACTAGTAAACTAGGCCAAGGTAGAAGTAATGCTTGGATATGTTCTTTCGGAATGCGGAGTTCAAGTTTGACCAATCTTATTGCAACAGCCCTTACTATGCTGAGCAGGCGTTGGCGAGTTACATGTGATATTGTTTTTTGGAATACGATGAATGACAGTGAGAAGTTTTTTAGCATCTGTGATGCCTCATGTCGACTAGGTGCGCTAGGACTGAACTTTTCACCACTTTCACCGCACACTTTCCAAACCAATGCTCTCGTATCCAGAGACGCACCTGCTTAATCGTACGCCCTATGTAACTAGTTTCACAGGAACAGTTTAACTGATATATGGAAGATGAAGAGCTAAGATTAGGTAGGTTATCCTTTAGTCTCAGACTGAGCATTGGCCGACTACCGAATGATATACAAAGCCAACCTTCATGAAACGTCTTACTGACTGCTCTAGCTGTGCGTTGTAATAGAATGTTACTTGCAGCATCTTCCTTAAGTTATGAGTGCAGAAACAAAGGCTTCTTCTCCATTGTCATCAGTTCTCGTTTAGGATCATTGTGGTTGATGTTAGCTTTGATGAACTTATCCGGATATCCACTTTCACCTAGAATATCACGGATATACAGCAGTACTTTTTCCATACACTCATCGATCTTACTCTAAATGACAGGCAACTGATTATATTATGTTTGTAATTCATCGGTACAAAGCTGAGAGTGTGTATACTGTGCCTTAGACGTTATTATTATTATTATTATTAGTCCCTTGGGTTCCTAATGGAACATACGGCTTCAGTAGCACGTATCCAGTGAACTCTATTCTCTGAAATCTTTTGGACCTGGCTACACGACAGCCCACAAGCTCTCATTTCCTACACGCACGATCTCCTCCATGTCACCCTCGCCACCAACGCCCAACTCGTCGCTTCCCATCTGGGTTCCACTCGAGGGCCTGATGCGTGATGTCCCCAGTCGGCCTTCTCAGTGTATGCCACTTCAATCCATCTCCACTTCCTTCCAGTGCACATCTGTTGCATGATAGGTTCTTGGTTGGTTCGTTCCCAGAGCTCTTTGTTGCTTATTCTTTTTAGCAATCCATCTGATCTTCAGTAACGAGCCAGCGTAGGCAGTTGTTGATGAATGTCTGTAGTTTATTGGAAATCCCTTTCGTAACGCGCCAAGTCTCTGAACCATACACAAGCACTGACTTGACTGAAGCTGATGTTGAAAATCCGGATCTTTTTCACACTTTATGCTGAGTGCAGAAGATCTCCACACTGGTTTCAAGCTAATGAACGCCTGTCTTGCTGTCTTTTCTGATTCTGACTTTGACATCCTCGTCTGTGCCTGTGCCGCCTGTAGTTGATACAGTGCTTCTTAGTTAGGTGAAGGAGGCGACTTGCTTTAAGTTTCTCCTGTTGGTGGTGATTAGAGTTTGTTGTTGGAGTTGGTGGTGGTGGTGAGGTATCTTCATCACTTCTGTCTTCTCTATATTCACCTGAAGTCCCGTCTTCCTTCGCTGCCCTGCCCTGCTTCTTCTGTCAACTTGTTAGTTTTCACCTGTAGATCTTCAAGTTTGTGTGACAAGACATCAGACACAAGTCATTGGCGAAATCTAAATCTTCTAGGTTCTTTTCTGTGGTCCAGCCAGCGTATCCCCCTCTTCTCTCTCCCCACTGTTTGTTGCATGATACAGTCGACCACAATCAGGAATATCATGGGGGATAGTAGGCAACCTTGTTTCACTCCTGTCTTTACTTCAAAAGCATCACTGAGCTTCCCATTGTGAATTACTTGGCTAGCATGTGGCGTCTTCATATAGTTGTTGAATGAGGCTGATAAAGGTTTGCGGTATTCCGACGTTGTCAAAGGCCTTCTCAAAGTCGATAAAGTTGAGGTGTAGAGTTGACTGCCATTCTATACTCTGTTCTATGATGATGCGAAGCGTTGCAATTTGATCCGCAGCCTTAGACGTTAGTTTTCGATAAATAATTCTCAGTACAGAGCCATCTGTGTTTCTTGTCATTAGCAAATCAAGAAAATATATTGAATCATTGATTTTATTTTCATATGTAAAATGAATTGATTGATGAGCGCTACTGAAACGGTTCAGAATAGAATTATGCACCTATCAAAGACTAAAAAAGTATCATCCATGTATCAACAATACAATTCTATACAGGTAATTTGATCTTTCAAAGGATCATTTCCCAATTTTGCCAAAAGTATGTCTTCAAATATTGGGTGCAATGGAGATCCCATAGCCATTCCGTCAACTTGTTTGTACAGATATTATTGTTGTACATTTCAGTAGTAGTTCTTTCAAAATCGTAATACGAATCCTAGTGTCTAATTTTCTTCCCAAAAACTATTCACAAATGTAATCAACAGTTTCTATTGTTAACGGAGGAAGCAGCTGCGTTTTTACAATTTGAATGTACAACCCACGTTTATTTGAAGTATGCATAACCATGGTAAAAAGTTGTAGAAATGGATATACAAATATAGAGAGGCACGATAAATGGTGATACAGTTACAACAGTAGTTTAACTAGATAATTGGTTGGAGGGATTTATATACTCTTTTTAAAATAGAGAACATCAAATAACCTACCGGCATTTGTCGCAGACATCAACTTCGAATGTTTTCCGCAAAAATGACTCTTCAAATGGTTTATGGCATATATCGCATATAGGTTTTTCTATATCAGGAGGAATAGGAATATCAGAGTCTTTAATGAAAAGATCAGGTCCAGTGTTAGGTTGCTTTACAGACACTTTTTTACGCTTTCTAGGCTTATTAGTTGAATTTAACTCTGGATCTGAAAATTCTTCATCTTTTTCAGTATATGGATGATGATTAGCGACTTCATCTTCGAGAATAAAACCTCCATCACTTAAAAGTTTGCGTGAAATCTTCGACTGTGGAACAGATGCATAAACATCATGACTACAAGAAAAAAATCAGTAAGATTAATAACACACCAATCAGTATGCTGATTTAGTACAATCTAGCTCATATTGATTAAAAAATCACTAGATAAACATGTGAGTAGATTAACTATACTAACTCCAAAAAGGAAACTATTTTTGTGGACGAGTTTTCATAATTTGATTCATCAATGGGACACTAGGAAAATTTTAAGGATTTACAGTCATGAATTATATAACGAAGTCTTAATCGATGGAATTACCTAGCTTAAGGGTTGAGTGTTAAGTAACAGCCACGGAGAACACCAAACTATTATCCTCCTTCTTCTGAGATGTAGTTAATATTTTCCACTGTTATAAGTTATACAACCACATAAGTTAGTTACTGAAAAGCAAAATAGATTCATTCCCTAGCCATCATCGCAGTAGGCTGTCCTAAAGGTGAAAAGTGCTCTATCATAGTTAGTAAGACTATGACGTCGAATCAGTACATAAACTCATGAATCGAATATCTCTTATCGATAAAACCTCAAATGATTAAACTATTCACAGTCACTGTTGGAAAAGGACTATCAGTGACACCAACAAAAATATCCATCTGGACTATAAATATTCTTCATCACTCACCTCAGTATTCATTCGCATATCATTTACTTCATCATTTAAGTGAGATAATGTAAAAACAAGATTCGTATAAAAGCTCAGTTTATATAATGGCTCATCATCAATATAGTACATTATAATAAGTAGGTTTCAACATAAATCCAGCGTGTTTAAAAAATCAAAACAAGATTTTCCTCAACGTTTCACTGTGTATACCACAGCTTCTCCAGCAGCATATTCAAATTTGTATGAAACACAAAAATGTTAGTTGGTTGGAGGCAATCGGCATGAAGCCCTGCACCTAGGTTTCGTGCTTTTTGGCACTCGTCAGCAAGGTGTATCTGCAACCTCAACGGAACTGATGTTGCGCCTGAGATTCGAATCCGCATCACCCAGTGTTGTAGTCAGCGATTGACCTCCTGTAGGACTGGCTTACATGTATTGATTGGTCACGGGAGTGCAACCAATTTCATCTTGTCTAGTCCTGAGTGCAGACTGAATTCTATCGATCATATTTACAATGTGGCAACCAAGCTAGGAAGCTCAGCATTACGGTGCTTATTATTAGATGCTAGTTGGTTGGAGACAATCGGTAGGAAGCCCTGCACCTAGGTTTCGTGCTTTTTGGCACTCGTCAGCAAGGTGTATCTGCAACCTCAACGGAACTGATGTCCCGCCTGAGATACGGTCAAATGGTATTTATGGCGATTTCTGTGTTTAAGGCATTATTTAAGTGGTTTATTGTGCAGACAGACTATTTCTAACTAGCCATCGTACTATCCTTGTCATTTGTTATCGAAAACAATTGAATATTCAAAGTATCTGTATTTGTGTGCACATGTTATCGAAAATTCTTTAATCAAAATGAAAGATGCAATATTCCAAAGATAACATAAAACAACTATATGTATAAAATGAAATGTACGAACTGTGAGATCAGTGATATTGGTGAATGTTATAGACAGCTAAAAATTATAGTGAATGAACTTAAATTATATGCCAAACACCCACCAAGAAAAGAGATGTGCAGCAACACCGATCGAACCGGTTGAAAATCGACACAAAAATTGACTTTGACAATGTTAACATATTACGAAAGGGTTTTCATTCATATATTTAAAAAAAATCGACATTGGAAGCCCTACATATTTTAACGTCAACATATTCTCTAAACAGAAAGAAAGAAATAAACTTGTCATCTATCTGATAGACTCTAATTCAGGAAAAGCAGTGATTCGATGATTATTATTAGGCTAAATGATTACTGAATTCTATTCATAAAGAAATCATGAAAATGAGACTGGAAATATACTTCATGATTATATAACTCTCTATCATCGACTGTTTTATAATACAAAACTGGTAAATACAATTTTTAGCAACTTTATAAAGTATTCATGAAATAACATACCGATCATTTGCAACAACTTGAGAAAGTCTGAGTTCTACAGCACGTTCTCGATTTCTTTCAACTCGTAAACGTTCTTCTTCTGTGAGTTCATCCATTCAACAGTGAGTTTACATTTAAAAAGAAGTATTCTGTAAATTATTTAAAATATTCATGATAATTATGTGCACTTTGAGAACATCACTAAATAGTACTTACGTTAACTAGAATTTAAAAAGGTTATTAAGCAATCTCTAGCGGGGTCACAGATGTCCAGAGTTGAAGAGTCGTATACCAAGATAAAACAGCTGTTCAATGACCTCGGGGTTTTTAATGGTTCTCCAATTGATGCTAGTAAGTAATGAATTCAAACTTGAAATCAATCCCACTAACTTCCAAATTAAAAATACAAATGGATGATTTCAGATTTACTGTAACACTACACAACAGTCTGACTGCCTTCAACTTTTTTCCAGTCTGAATCTACTTCAGGTAACATTGTGCGATGGGGCTGATGTTGACTAGGCATGTGTAACGTATGTCCCAGCCACCTGAGTCGATAACTTAATCAGTGGATTTTCCTCGCTTCTTTATAACTCTACACCTGACTTCTGCATTCATGATGTGGTGACACCACGATGCGACCTATGCTACAAAGGCAAGGGTGGTCGAACATGCGAAGCCTTCTTACGTCCTCTACTTTTAATGGCTATATTTCACAACCATACAGTAGGATACAGAGAACTGCAGTGCTGTATGCTCAGTGCGGCGCTACAAATGGCGTCAGTTGGCGTCGGACAAGCGAACCTTTTGTATCTGTGCTGGGATTTCGTTAGTCACTGACCCATCATGGCTGATTCGATTTCGCAAGTAGGTGAAACGGTCAACGCGCTTAACCATTCCAATCACTAATACTAGACAAGGCATCAGCAACGACTAGTCCTGAAGTGACATTTAGTACAGAAGACATTCTCAAATCACCACTCAAGACGTCCAGAAGGCTGCATCTTGTCATCATCTTCGCTTAACAGGATTATGTTGTCTACTAAGGGGTTTCGTGTACTTAGATGTATCTCCGTAAAGTTAGATGATGAAGGGGAGGCCTTCATAATTGTGTATACGAAGAAATTAAGCAAGATTGGAGGGAGTATATATTTTTGAAGGATAACACCCAACGATCCACCACAGATTGTAACACGTCTACGAGTGGTTCAGTACAGAGAGTTCAAAAGGCCGACTTAATAACCTGGTAACCCTCTCAGTGAGAAAAACTGGCATAATATCTTTTAATCGACGGAGACGAGTGTTGTTTTCAGCTCGTGGAATACAGTTAGAGTCGGGAGCTGATGAGTATACCGGTGTTCTAATACCTGGCACGGGGTGAGTATCAGGTAGAAACACCCAAGACTTGTTCGGTTTCCTCGGGTTCGCTGTCTCCGAGCTCCAATTAGACGTCTAACGATTACAGGACCTATGATCTTAGACACTTTACTTACCAAACTGATTCTTCTGTGGTCACATCACAAGAGGCTTTTTCACCTTTCTTGAAGACTTGGAAAATCAGTGATTGAGATCAACCAGATATTATACCTGGCTTGCATACGCTAGTTAATACCAGTTAACTCGATTATAATCCTCTACCATCGTCCTTAAAAACATCCAGTGCTGTGCCTCATCGTTTCCGATTACTCACGGCTTTCTGGACATTCACAAGTGTTGTAGGTCCTGTTTCAATGTTCAACTCAGAATCTGGGTGGATAGCGGGCAACGGAATAGTAGCTAAACGCCATCTGAACTGTTCGATCTATCGTTACAGTCGGCTGCTAACAGTAGTATGGTAGACAAAATAAAACTATAACTCCACAGACAAGTTCAGGGTAACACGGATCATATACTACACCCTTTGCAGAAATCTTGCAATCTTGGATATTCAAGCCAGGTTTTACACCGAGTAATGGCTTAATGCAAGCAATTTTGAAGTGAATGAGAACCATGCGGAGGGACTCAAACATTAACAATAATTAGCTGGACAGTTGAATACGATATTTTTGCAGTCAGTTACATTAGTAGCATGCAAACTGTGTATTTTATAATCGTCAAAATGCAGCATTATTTTTGAAAAGGATATGCTACTGCGAGCAAGAACAGATCGAAACAGGTGGTCAAGGTGAAAATCTCCCTAATTTTGTGTATAAGTTATGATTCAAAAACAGTAGACCAATAGTATGCTGCATTTCTTCAACTGCTGGTGGTTAGAGGAGGTTTATACACTGTTAGTTCCCTACGGATTATAAGTGGATTTCCATCATCACTTAGGTCTAACTCTGTGCTTCTTGATCCCCCGTTACGCAGCACTCACTTTTTCTTTTGCACTTCTGTATAAAATAATCACATAGGCATAAAGGCACTAAATAAACCTTTTCTGGTAGAAACTATGAACACATCGTCATATGATGTCCGGAGGAAGAGAGAACTCTACATTAAACTATAAAGTGGTATTCAAGAGTGAATAATTAGCCATCTCCAGTCTGCTGTAAAAGCAACGGTGAAGACCGTAGCCAACTCCGAAAGAGTCGCTAAAAACAGCTAGTGGATATCAGCAGTCTCTTCCAAACTAATGGATGCATGTAAACACATCCCTGGCTGCAGGCTCTCAGTACAATGAAGAGCAAGCGCAACTTGAAAGTAGATTCAGGAAAAGTCTACACAACGACCGCGAACAGTGGTGGGCAGCGAATGCTAAAGGGATGGAAAAGGCAGTGGCAATTGGTAACAGTAGACAGCTATTTAGACTTATTAAGGAAACTGGTGGTGAGGGAAAGGTCAACAACACTTAGTGAGGCCATAGCGGAGAAGGACGGATCTGAGATTCATTCACAGAGGAGACGGCTGGAACGATGGACAGAACACTTCAAGGAACAGTTTAACTGATCTCCAGCCACCATTGCGTTGCCCGCTATACAGTCAAATCCTGAACGCAACATTCTGATATGCTCCCAAACACTAGCGGAAGTCGAGTAAGCAGTAGGTAACCTGAAACGAGGAAGAGCGGGAGGGCCAGAAGAACTAACTCCTGAGGTATACAAGAACAGTGGTAAGGTGCTCTTAGTCAGGTTAACGGAAGTGTTAACCAGTATATGGGAATTAAATACGATCTCATCTCACTGGTCCAAATCACTGATTATCCCAGTCTTCAACAAAGACGGGAAGTCCTCTTGTGATAACCACACAAGAATCAACCCGACGAACATAGTGTCCAAGATTCTAGGTTCCATAATTCTTCGACGCCTGAGTTCAGCTCGGGAACAACAAGCCCAAGAGAACCAGACAGGCTTTAGACTCAGCTGCGGATGTATCGACCAAATATTCACACTGCCCCAGGTCCTTAAACATAGGCACCCTCACAGACGCCCGACAATAGCTGTATTTCTCGATCTGAAGGCGGCATTCCATTCCGTTGGTCCAGAAGTCTTATGGCAATGTCTCTCATTGAAAGGCGTGCCGAGTATTCACATCACCACCTTATTGAAGGCCCTCCACTAGAACACTTGTGGGCGTGTTACAGCCTACGATGAGATGTCCAGAGGGCTATGCTCATCCAGTGGTGTCCATCAAGGGTGCCCACTCTCCCCATTCTTATTCAATTTTATCATAGATATTCTCATAGAGGTCTCCCTCTCGTCACCTGATTACACGGACGTTGACCTAATCACAGGAGAATTTTCATTAGACCTAGAATATCCAGATGACATAGTCAGTCCTGTTAAGTGAAGACACTGACAAGATGCAGAGTCTTCTGAACACTTTGAGTGGCAAGTTGAGAATGTTTGGGATGCGGTTCTCACTACCCAAATGCAAATTGTTGCTCCACGATTGGTCTTCAACGGTGCCCCACCGCGGCTAACAATAAAGAGTGTAGTGGTTGGGCGTGCCGACCACTTCACTTATTTTGGAAGTAGGATTAGCCCTGGTGGCTCAGTGGCCGATGAGATCTCTGCACGGACACAAAAGCCTCGGTTGGCTTTTGCCACCTATGCCACCGCCGTGATATCCGTTTGTCTATTAAATGTCGCGTGTACTGCACAGCAGTCTGCTCTGTTCTACTCTATGGCTGTGAAACATGGCCATTGAAGGTGGAAGACATGAGAAGGCTTCAGGTGTCTGACCACCGTTGTCTTCGTAGTATAGGCCGTATTCCGTGGTGTCACCACCTGAGTATCGCAGAAGTTAGGTGTAGAGGTAAATCAGTTGACGAGGTTATGAACCTTTATCGATTGAGATGATTGGGACACATGTTACGTATGCCCAGTCGCCGACTGCGTCGTCATACAATGTTGGCCGAAGTGGGTCCAGGCTGAAAAAAGGCCCGAGGTGGCCAGACTAAAATATGGCACCAATGTATGAAGTCTCTGACTGTTGGTTTGAGTCATGTGGGGTAGTGCAGACTAGCCGGCTGGGGTCCACGGACGAGAAGAACCAGTGGTTGGAGACTGTAGGTGATGTGACTCAGAACCGATGTCAGTGGAGCAGATGTATGCACACATTATCCTCATCTTAACGCTATATTGAATCTCACCATTTTCTCATTCTTCCTTTTTCTTTCTTCGTACTTTATATTTCTTCTGACCGAGTTTTCTTATCTTCATCTTGCGGTTCACTGCCTTTTTACTTGATATACTGATATGAGCTGTGGCAACTCGGACTGTTACGCAGTAATGCCTGGTCCTGTGTTGATATTGATGATGATTAGCTTTTCCTCGAATGCATTACATTTTCATTAAAATATACATCAGATTTTATGGTACAAAAAATGACAGACGAATTCAAAACCCTAACAATGATAAATATCGAAAGATAGAAAAAGAATTAATCACACATGAAAATACTCATTATGACATTGAAGTCCGGTTACATATCAAGCTTGCAGAAATAGAAAATATATAATCTTTTGGAATCTAATCTATCGAATATGTTCACTATAAAAACTAGTAGATGCTCCATTCATTATGCAGCTAACTTTAGAGTCGTACACAGGGTTAATTAAAAGAAAGAAGTCTAACATTAGGTAAGCATTGACTGCATAAAAACTTTTTATAACCTAAGAAATCTACACTAAACAGCATCTTGACGAATGGTAAGAAACAGATCAAGCTGGATCCTACAAAGTGCATCTAAACAGCCTTACATTACATACGGGCGACATAGTATTATTTTAATGTGAAGAAATGCAGTCTAACAGATTCAGTCAGATATACAGCAGTCATCTAATTATTTGGATAAAATCATATATTACACCATCTTAATTGCAAACATCATTTGGGTGCATGACTATTGAAGCAAACGATTAAATGTTCAAGAGTAATACAACTACTTCGATCTGTTCTGATAAATATTCTTTGTTCTTACTTACTTTGTCTAGATTTCCAACTAGTAGAGATATCTATTCATGAATAATGATTTAAGTTTGATTTATTCAACTTATATCAAGAGTTTCAATAATATCTTTTTCAATAACTCTGCCGTATCTATTCACTTATTACTATAGAATGCCAGAATTTTAGTTTGAATATTGTCAATGAAATATTTTTATCGTTTTGATTGCCCAAGATAGACGTGATTTAGCAGACTAGTATTGTTATTGAAGGTGAAATAAAAATTTAGACTGAAGTTGGATTCCAACCTGCAACCACTGGGTTTCCGGCCCGATACTCTATCAACTGAGCCACGAGGTTCAACTGCTGACCACATTTTTATTTCACTTCAATCAAAAGAAGGATTTTGCCCATGCGAATTCGTAACGCGTTACTACCGCTCGATCGTATTCACGCTGGCTGCCAAGTCAGGACTTCTCATCCGAGGCCCAATCTAATTGAATTAGAGAGGGGGAGCATCATATTGAGTTGAAATGAAAATCTAGTTAGTAGTCGATTCATGTAGCTCAGTTGGTACAGCATCGAGTCCGAAACCCAGTGGTCCCTGGTTCGAATCCGACCATGGTCGAAATTTTCATTTCACCTTCAACCATCATTTTCAGTCAACCTTTAAAAACATATTTTTCTAAGAAATATTAATGGTCTAGGTGTCAGTGATGGCATTCTCTTATTGAGCGGTAAATTTGATTCACCCTTCTATAAAATAAGTAATCAAAAACAGTCTATTTTGTCAATAGAAGGGGGAAAAATTTTGAAATTCACAATCATTTTGACTAAGCGTATTAGAATGCAGCGAAAAAAAATAAATTGAATAAAAATACATGACATAGAAATATATACAGAAATCACACTGCACAATGTTAATGCGTTAATGGTGACTGCTGTTTTCAAAAAAAAACAGACTCAAACATTTTTTTACCTTCGATATTTCTTGCAAGCGAATAAGTACATTTTGCTAATACACATCAGTTATTGTATATCTTCAGACAAATAGGCCTAAACTAGTTTTGTAGGGAACGAGAAGACTGAGACGCAGGAAGGAATGTTTATTATTGACGTACAGCACCGTAATCATCAAATATTGCACACTTTCCACTAAGACAGTCATTTGTACAACGTTCTTCATTTTTTCTTCTGCTTCTATCTTGATTTACTCTTCAAATGACTACAAAATCTATTGCGTTTCTCTGGGAAAAATATTAACCCATTACCGGTAATCGCCTATGATTTCTGCCTCCTTCTGAACATATATTATTTATACAAACTGTGATCAGCAGCATCCACTACAGTATGAATTGTATGAAGACTATCAATAATTTTCCTTTGGGTTCCCAGTGGAACATACGGCTTCAATAGCACATCGCCATTTCACTCTGTTCTCTACAGTTTTTCGAGTCTGCTTCCACAACTGCCCACAACCTTTCATTTCTTCTTCGCACGATCTCCTCCATATCACCCTCGGACACCCAAGTCATCGTTTCCCATTTGGGCTCCACTTGAGGGCCTCACGCGTGATGTCCTCGAATGATCTTCTCAGTGTGTGCCCAATCCATCTCCACTTCCTTCTGCATATTTGTTGGGCGATGGGTTCTTGGTTGGTTCGTTGCCAACTAGAATGAGTTCCTTGTTGCTTATTCTTATTATTCTGGTAATCCATCTGATCTTCAGTAACGAGTGTAGACGGCAGCTGTTAATGAATGTCTGCAGTTTGTTGGAAATGCTTTTCGTAACGCACCAACTCTCTGACTCATCACATAGAAGCACTGACTTGACTGACATTAGTGTTGAAAATCAGGATGTTGTTCACGCTTTATGGTGAGTGCAGTGCAGTAGATCTCCACACTGGTTTCAGATTATTGGAGACCTGTGTTGCTGTCTTTCTGATCCTGGCTGCTTTGACATCCTGGTGTGTGCCACCGCCTGTAGTTGAAACGATACTGCCTAGGTATGTGAGAGAGACAACCTCCTTTAGATTTTTCCCGCTGATGGTGATTGGTGCTTGTTGTTGTTGTTGGTGGTGGTGGTTGGGTATCTTCATCACCTCTGTCTTCTCTACGTTCATTTGAAGGAAGTCCAGTCTTCACTGCCTCGCCTCTTTTGCCAACTTGTTAGTTTTCGCCTACAGATCTTCGAGTTTGTGTGACAAGACATTAGACATAAATCATCATCGGCGAAATCTAAATCTTCTAAGCTCTTTTCTTCGATCCAGCCAGCGTATGCCCATCTTCTCACTCCTCACAGTTTGTTACATGATTCAGTCCAGTCCAGTCCAGTCGACCACAATCAAGAAGATCATAGGTGACAGTGGACAGCTTTGTCTTACTCCTGTCTTCACTTCCACTTCAGATGCATCACCGAGCTTTCCATTGTGAATTACTTGGCTGGCATGTGGCGTCTTCACATAGTTGTTGAATGAGGTTGATGGAGGTTTGTGGTATTCTGTAGTGTTGAAGCAGTTGTCAAATGACTTCTCGGTTGACGGTGTTGAAGGTTTTTCCAAAGTTGGTGAAGTTGAGGTTGAGTTGACTGCCATTCTATACTAGAGTATAGAATGGCAGTCTATGATGATGCGTAGTGTAGCGTTGTAATTTGGTCCGCACATGATTTGTACTTCCTAAATCCAGCCAGCCTGTTCCGGTCGTAGTTTTGAATCCAGTGCATCCTTTAGTCTCTCCAGGATGATGTGGCTTAATATTTAGCTTGGAGTAGACAGCAGCATGATTCCTCGCCAGTTCTTGCAAACACTTAGGTCGTCCTTCTTTGGGAAATTGACAAGGTAGCCCTTCTTCCAGTCAATCAGCAGATACCTTTCCTTCCTTCCAGACCTTCTGCAGTAGAGGTGCGAGCATGTCCGCTGTTATCTCTGCGTCTACTTTCAGTGCTTCTGGAGGAGTTCCATCTGGTCCCGCTGCTTTCCTGAATTTCAGCAGTTTTATGGCATTCAGGACTTCTGCTTTTGTCGGAGGGCCTGTGTATGAAGATTACATCGAAGGAATATAATTTCCGGATATAAAGATACAATTCTGCAACAGACCGACGAACTAAAGACATTCGCATAAACTAGCCAGACAGTTTAACAACATGAAAAAATATTTCTCAGGGAGCCTCATTATCAAGTATACAGTAAACAAAAAAAAATAATTCAAAGACATGCCAAATCTAATTGAAGTGATATCAACATAGTCTCAAACAACCTCTTTTGGAGAAACAAATATCAATTTGCAGAAAACTTCGCCAATATCCTATTCGAATACTTAGGCAATGTAAAAAAGAAGCGTAACAGAGGAATAAAAATGTAAATACAATAGTACAGAAATGAGAAGCGGAAATCAGGTTAGGACATAGACCATAGGGTATAGAAAAGTCTAGAAGAAGATAAAGAACGGGAGTATTTGCGTCAGGGTGTCTAACTTTCAGTTGCATCACCTTAAATCTTCAACTATAAGTTTCATATCACGAGAATCTGTCTTCGTAGTATGTTTGGCTCAGGTTAACACCCAGCTGGACTATAAATAGTCATATGGAGGTTCATTTAGTACACATTATATCTTAGTCACATTAATTTATAAAGCCAAAAGCACCACTAGTTTCGTGTTTATGCTCATAGACAGACAACGATGAAACTTTCTCATCACAATGGTGAATAGGTGCCTGAAGTATATTTGATTCCCAGCCACCTCCTCTTTTTATGCTGCTTATTGAAAACTAAAACCGAAGAAGTGAATAATTTATAATAACAATAAGCTTAACTTCATACAAATACACACAGAAAAGGCAAATAAAAATCAGAGTTAACAAAGTAGAAAATATTTTATTTATCTTAGATACATAGAGAACCAACTGTACATATTCATAGAAAAAGTTATGTGAAAATCGACTCCTTTTTTTTCAACTTCATATCAGCACTCATTGATCGACGACGTGACACTTCATGATATGACACTTCATTAAGGTGGGTAGGAGTAGTAACAATACTGTCAGTGTCTTTCAATAGCTTAGAACGTAACAATAATTGTTGTTGACATTCAATATACTTTTCTACTATTTCATGATATTCCTTGTCTTTATTATTGTAAATTTCAAGCAATTCTTCTAATTCTTTCACTTCTTGTTGTAGTACAGTACGTGAATCAACTAATTCAATGCTAAAATTGATAATGATAAAGTTAAATAAACATATATGAGTGAATACAGCAATAACAAATTTAAACTACTACACTCATTGCATGTAGGATTTTTAGCTGGTACAACGAACATCAAAAATTCTTACAACTAGGTCATCGTTTCTAACCATTTATCCATATACATTGATGTGTAGGTTTCGAATAAGACAGAATATACGTCTTAGTGACTCCACAGGTCAATGTAACACGAGAGATTTTCTAGTACAGAAATATAATTAGACTGAAATATGCCAGGATTAGTAATCTAAAGATAAAGACAGAAAATCAAGTTGCTACACTTCACAATAACATCCAAAGAACAACTGGACAGAATAAAAATGATATCAACCTACACAAAAGTGAATAGAAGGAAAGAGAACCTGAAGATGAAACTCAGTCAACATATTCAAGCTTCAAAAGACATCAAACAGTGAATACATTTGCACCACCAACACCCATTTTCAGACACGTCAATCACAATCTTATAGTGTTGAGTTCTACTATCATCCCGTACACATCGATCACTCAAACTAACACACTCCTAAACGGCTCAAAATCACAGTCATAGACTTCATCAACTCGTGTCACCTCTTGGTCTAGCCACCCTCAGCCTTCTTCCAGCTTAACACAACTTCTCCTACCATTCCATATCCAGGTAGGCCATGGCTTACCACGAGTAACACATGTCCGAACCACTTCAGTCACTCATGCTTCACAAATTCATCGACCGACTGGTCTGTCTTGTCTAGCACTTATCGCCTAATCTCGGATATCTTGCCAGAGTCAGAGATGACGCAAGTTGACGAGTGTAAAACGGATCTTTCGTAACCGAGCTGAGATTTTGTCAGACACCAGCACATTCAGGTTGGTCCAACTTCCCAAGTAACACAGGTGATCAACGCATTCTACCACACCACATCACCCCCTATGTTTATACTGAGAATAATTACAGGTCAGTCCTGAAGCATCCTCCCTCTGCTACGCCACATTACGAAGTGAGGCAATGGCAATAACTACCTGACTGTATGGGGTCTTAATGCATGGCATTTTAACTGCCACAGATGACCATCATTGAGTTAGGCAGATGTTTAGACGACAGTCTGCTACTGAATTCTTTAGAGAAACCAGTCCTTCAGAGAGCAATATCCTGCAAGCTATGTCAACGCATGGGTCGTCCGTCTTGAAATTATTCTCCACATATCAATATGAGAATGTGACAGACCGAAAATGCTTACTCTCAGTGGTTAGAAGTGATCATGCTGTAAATATTTTTAAGTTTAAAACACAAAATTAGATTTATGACTCCAAGCTTTCTCATGAAAATGTTTACACATTTGAGTACATAAGCACATTTGGGAGAAGCGAAACGTATCTCAAAGGTTAAGGAGTGCCAGTGTAGTACAGTTAAACAAAGAGTGAATTATACTGGAGCGGAATCATGCTTGTATCCACACCAAGCAGAATATTAAGTCACATCATCCCAGAGAGACTAAAAGGTGCTCTGATTTCAAAATTACAACCGGAAAAGGCTGGCTTCAGTAAAAACAAATCATGTGCGGATCAAAATACAACGCTACACTACGCATCATCATAGAACAGAGCATAGAATGGTAGTCAACTCAACTCAACCTCATCGACTTTGAAAAGGCCTTCGATCGAGAAGTGATTTAGAAAATGTTTCAACACTACGGGGTGCCACAAACCTTTATCAACTTCCTTCCACAGCTATATGTTACACTATATGATGCCAAGTACCAAATGGTTCACAATGAAAAGCTCAGTGATGCATTTGAGAGTGGAAGTGAAGACAGGAGTAAAACAAGGATGCTTACTACAACCGATCATCTTCCTGATTGTGGTCGACTGGACTGGACTGAATCATGCAACAAACTGTGAGGAGCGAGAAGATGGGCATACGCCGGCTGGACCGAGGAAAGAGCTTAGAAGATTTAGATTTCGCCGATGATGATTTATGTCTAATGTCTTGTCACACAAACTCGAAGATCTGTAGGCGAAAACTAACAAGTTGGCAAAAGAGGCGAGGCAGTGAAGACTGGACTTCCTTCAAATGAACGTAGAGAAGACAGAGGTGATGAAGATACCCAACCACCACCACCAACAACAACAACAAGCACCAATCACCATCAGCGGGAAAAATCTAAAGGAGGTTGTCTCTCTCACATACCTAGGCAGTATCGTTTCAACTACAGGCGGTGGCACACACCAGGATGTCAAAGCAGCCAGGATCAGAAAGACAGCAACACAGGTCTCCAATAATCTGAAACCAGTGTGGAGATCTACTGCACTGCACTCACCATAAAGCGTGAACAACATCCTGATTTTCAACACTAATGTCAGTCAAGTCAGTGCTTCTATGTGATGAGTCAGAGAGTTGGTGCGTTACGAAAAGCATTTCCAACAAACTGCAGACATTCATTAACAGCTGCCGTCTACGCTCGTTACTGAAGATCAGATGGATTACCAGAATAATAAGAATAAGCAACAAGGAACTCATTCTAGTTGGCAACGAACCAACCAAGAACCCATCGCCCAACAAATATGCAGAAGGAAGTGGAGATGGATTGGGCACACACTGAGAAGATCATTCGAGGACATCACGCGTGAGGCCCTCAAGTGGAGCCCAAATGGGAAACGATGACTTGGGTGTCCGAGGGTGATATGGAGGAGATCGTGCGAAGAAGAAATGAAAGGTTGTGGGCAGTTGTGGAAGCAGACTCGAAAAACTGCAGAGAACAGAGTGAAATGGCGATGTGCTATTGAAGCCGTATGTTCCACTGGGAACCCAAAGGATAAATACATAATAATCATCACTAATGTAATTGTCCAGTGTAAGACAAAGGTAACGTCAACGAGAAAATGTATACATTAAGAGATAAAGTCAATGTGGGCTACGAAAGTGCCTGTGGCCTTCATTACTGAATACTGAGTATATTAACCTTCTAACTGTTATGAATCCCACTGTATTCGCTACCGCAGAACTGTACTACTAATCGTTAATTCCGAATACGACTGACTAATTAACACTATCTCGCTAAGCATCAACATACCAAATTATCGACATAATTCAATTTTTTGGTTAACGGATATTACATCTGTCAGTACACCTGATACCTCTTGACTTTTACTGCTGTAAGATATCTTTGAATTCTCAATAGAAGTGGACAGCACGACCTGAATGTTTACTTTTAGGATGGTTACAGATGACTAGTGATGACTTCAGTTGCCAAATGCTAAATATACTTAATGTTTCAATCAACATTTGATTATAGTTACAAGGAATACAGCTTTTGAAATCAACAATTGAAGTTAACAATTGCGATTTTCCCATCAACATAAACAACAGAATGTAAACTGACTAAAAAAACTTTGAGAACTGAAATATCTCCTATGTGTTACACGAATCTAAAGAACAGTGTACTGCGATAGTCTTAGCAGTGTCTATAAACCCTATTGAGACAAAACAACTGTACTGGTTCGTAGTTGTTTGATATTTACAATTTCCCGTTGCTATACAAGGTTGAACTGCTCGACCTCTGTCCTGGTAGAAGATGGTATTTCAGACATATCGTTATGATGGAGTTTGGGTGGGAAATAATGATAGCAATTCAACCTCGTGTAAATTTATGTACTTAGTGATGAGCAACACTTACTATGTTAAGATTTATGACGTTGTAAGGTTTGGAGGGCGAGAGTAAGTGGAGTGGGGCTTAAAACCAGGACTTACAGCTTTAATGTCAAGTGTTTATGTCAATCATGAGAAATAATGGTTCAATTTCAATCGACTTATTCAACTACAATCAACTGAAAAATGTTCACTGATTTATTTCAGTAACAAAACTTTCAGAAAGGAGAGAGCTGTTAAAAAGACAACTAGTTTCCGTGCGAGAAAGTTACTCATACACAAAGTAATATAAATATGACCAGGAGCCATACAAAACCGGTCGTGGCTTCATAGTTCCTGAAAGTTACTTCATTGTGACAATGTTGTGACCATAGTACAATAGGTATTTTTTTAAAAAGCTAAGTTATACTAAGGAAATGCTGTCAAACTGTGCTAACGCAAACAGTATCGGGAAACAGCTTCCCCATTAGATAAAAATAGTGGTAGAAATTTGACCAATGACGAGGTAGAATTATTATAACAAGAGCAAGAAAACATACTGAATCTCCTTTAGGATATCTAAAGTTTCTGATGGTTGAGAAGCAGAATACAGAATGAACTCTTGTAAATGTTGGGCTCGCAAAAGTAAAGCATCAGCTTGGTCATTTAGAACTGAGAGCACCTGAAAACTCAGTCTTGGGTGAACCTCACAACGAAATTCTCGACATAAAGTAGATAATGTAGGATACATTTCTTCTGTAATCTACAAAATCATTCGAGCAAAAATAAATGGGAGGTATTATTATAAACCAACAATATCTTATAGAGGTGAGTTAAAAGCATAAAAGGTATCAAAAATTATAACTTTTAGATAAATCAAACTTGCCTGAAATAATTGTTTGATACAGTTACTAAGATGTACCTAGTTGTTTACTGCTTTTGCCATCATTTTTAAGGTGATCAATATCTACAGCGAAGAATTTTGTCCCAAGAATAATGGTGTGATATTTTAATCTGAGACTAAGAAGTTTTAGAAATTCATCTAGGTTGGGTAGTAAGTATTATAGTAAATTTTAACTTCTAACTAGCCTGTACGACTTCCGATTTCTTTTAACTAGGTAAAACACAAACATTATAATAGAATGTAATCAGATATTAGATATGTTTACTCGAAATAGCATACAGGGATACAGTATTATTCACTGGATAATGTTGTGAGTACAAATGATTGCTCATAATCAAATCAAAGTAATCATACAATTTCCGACACCTGGTTTACTTAGCGTGTTAGGAAGTGGCCAAAAATGGAAGTCATCATTCAAGGTCATTCGCCGTTGGTGTAGAAATATTTTCGTTTTAAATCTTGATTTATGTCCATCTGATTGGTGATCTAGTGGATTTATTTTCTGAGTAGCAGCTATATATAAGTACTAAGCTTTTGGCAAATAAAGTCGTCTTCCTTAAGTCAGCTACAGGCCCGTCTTTTGTCTTCTGACTTTCACGTCTCAGTGAAGTATCATATGTGGCGGAGACATTACCCATATCCCGTCCAAGCATCTCGTTGCGTTATTACTCGTTCCGCTTATTATTAGAACCTACGTCCTAATCCGACACGGTCACATCACAGAGGTAGTAGAACTTCCCGTACCTCCAGTATGTGTTACGTCATTCCTATTATATATGTTGGGTGTTGGTCCAGTGAACAAGGATTGCGTAATCAAACCAGGTCTCTATCCCTCTGCAGCTAATTGTATTGGCCTGTAATACAGTTGCTTTGTTGTATCCAATTGTATGATTCTGCACCGATTGCAATAGCTAAGCTTTCTTTTCTACATAATCGATCTAACTAGAGTACACTAAATTTAGCATACTTCCCATGCACTGGTTCTGATCACTTTGTTCCATTTACGTATTTAACCCCACAATCGTTACACGCCATTTGGTAGATAGAATCATTTAGTCTAATTGGGTCAGACATGTTAGTAATTCTATGTGAACTTCCCAATGTCCCTTCTGTGGTGGTGACAAAAAAACAAGAAAGGCGGACCACTATTGTAATGAATACACTAAAACAATCAAACAAATGGATGTGACAAGGTGACTGTACTACGAGCCGATATAATCAGTTGGAGAAAGATAGAGAGCCAATTTGATAATCGAATCAACACCCAATATATGTAATCCGGATGACGTAACATTCATATTGGGGGTACGAAAAGTTCTACTACTACTAAAGAAACCAGGTGTCGAATATTGTATGATTACTTTGATTTAATTATGAGCAATCTTTTGTGCTCACAACACTATCCACTGAATAATGCTGTATCACTGTATGCTACATTGAACAAACATACCTAGTATGAAATTTTGATGTCTTGCTTCTGTGTTTCATTAGTACTGCAAGGCAGTTTTCAACGTCGCAAGAAAGTAGACCAAAGATTTAATCCACTTCTCAGAATAGCTTGTGATTGGGTAACAAAACACGAAGGGACTACTACCATTTACTACACGTCATCAGATTCTCTACAATTTCGCTCCAGTTATAACATTTTATGCTTTCAATACTCACGCAATTCATTTTTTAAAGTGTATTTTATCTACGTACTCCCAGCGTAGTACATCAGAACAATGCGAAATATGTTTCGTTTGTCATTTGTTATAATATACTGCGCCGGGACTACACAAGTACAATACGCCTTATACGATGAATTACACTAACTCATTGCCAAAGATTTTTCGAATCATTCAGTTCATTGTTGATCATGATACGTTCAAATTCACAATTACTACTCACTTGTAATGTTTTCTGACTCACACCAGTCTCGGCAAACGAAACCCACTCAGTCACCTTCTATACATTCGTGCAGTAGGCAATAAGCCAACCACACCTATAATGTGAGGGTTAGTGGTTGCCAAAACCTCGGAAGATGGAACGGGGTTCGAACTCATAACCCATTGGTTGACAGTCTTTCCTTAAACTAGTGGGCGACAGCTCCACTTCCATAAGTCTGTTTGTGAGTTATACAAAATGCATGGAAATTATGACCATCTACTTGAATATGAATATATTCGTATAGAGTTCCGGTGGATCGTTTTCAGAAATACAGGTAGCCTGCAGGAGGATAAATACTACTCTGAGTTTGAAATTTAAACTCCATTTCTTACCGCTTGCTTTATTCAAGGTTATCGCCCATAAACTAGGTAGTGTCTTTGTGGTACGATGTTTCATTATTCTCGGTAGCCAACTATCGACCAGTGTTATAGGTTTGAATGTCACTCTAACTATAGAAGTCTCGATAACCAGGTAGTATAATCAACCCTTCAATATATCGGGTATGACTTACAGAATGGTACACAGATCTCAATAAGATTGTTCACTTAGATTTTTCGTCATGCCATGTAAGATGTTTATGGACATTTTTCATAGTTACGAATTCAATAAATTTAAATATTGTCATAAGAAGCAATTAGATATGAAGTAATATTTCTACATGTCTCCATTACCACCTCATAAAGTCACATATGCAAAACAATTTTACTCTGAACCACAATCTAATCCATTAGCCCTTCACAATTCTAACGAGATTTCTGAGAATACTCTCTATGAAGATTATTAAGTCGTTAATTAGATGGAGGCAGTCGATAGGAATCCCTGGACCTAGGGTTTCGTGCTTGTTGGCACTCGTCAACAAGGTGTATCTGTAACTCCGACGGAATTTCGAAGTAGGTTACCCCCCAGTGACCAATCAATGTAGATTATTAAGTCATTTCCTCTAATCTAATTAGTTGTATTTTGTGATACAGGAAAGTTCTAACTTCAGTTGATTTTTTTTTAATAGTCATTGTTACGTCACAATATCTAGGAAGTAGCGTCGATTCACATAAATTTAGAAGTCATAAAACATTATTTAGGCAGCCTGTGTTAAAGTGATATGCGGGATTTTTAAACGTGGAAATTCTAGTCCTCATAAAGTCCGCATTCTTACAGAAAGGAACTTGAAAGTATATCCACAAGCGTATACATTTAGAACACAGAATATCAGTATGAAATGCTGTGAAAAGTTTTGATATGAAGATTTCGAGACCCATAATACAATATTTTATTCCTGAAAGTTGATTTGATCTATCATTTGATTGTATTCTATAGGTGAATATAGCATAAAACGATTGCTAGGATCCCACACGAATGTAGAACACGTTGTGTTTGGAATATTTAAACAGTTTGGTGTACAGAAACAGTCAGCCAAAGATTTATTGAAAACCTTCGATAATTAAAATAAACATTGTCAAGTCAACAGTTCGGAATCGCCTAGACAGAATTTGCAGGGACGTGGCGTCACTATTAGGTTTGCATAAAAAACGACTGTAGTAAAACAATGGAAATACAACAGCTGTACACAAGTTTCTAAAAACCTTAAGTTCAATAGAAACGTGATGGGAGCTGATTCAAATTCAGAAAGATATTATAATAACTGAAGGTTTAAACGGTTAATGCTGAACAATTTTGCTATTTGTTATATCAGAATTTGATTCATCTACTTCTTGTTTCTAAGCCTTAAGAATAGTTTTAAAAGCAGTTATCGAGCAATTAAACACTGATCACAGTTGCAGAGGAGTAGCTTACTTACCAAAGAATAACTTCTTGGAAGGATAACAGTGTTACAAGTGTGTTCAATCATATGGAGTAACTTGCAAGTTTTATGGCTTCACTACAACTTTTCCCCCTGAGGAAAAACTATCTAATTACTCTGTACTACAATAAACATAATCCAAATAAAAAATATATCAATACCAGAATCTCACATAAAATTTCATGATTAAAATTATATACTTGTGTAAATGCCGCTTGTAATCTTTCAAGTTCCAAAGAGAGCTGGTTATCACTATGTTGAAGCTTTTTAACCGATTCAGATATATCTAAAAGTAAAATATTACAAAAGGGTGTAACTTACCCTGGTCACAGTCAGCTAATAATGTCAGCCTTTCGTTTAACTTCTCTTCTATGCGTCTATGCAGAAGTAGGATGGCATTATTTATAATTTCACCCCTGCATTCTTTGGTGTTAACTGAACACGCTTTCTTTGCGCCTTCAATATAATGGCAATCAACCCATATATGATTCAGCATGTTATATACATCACTTTTGCAACAAGTTAATAAACCAATTTCATTTTCATATGCCAAGTCTAACATCACTTCTTTGATTATTTCATATTCAACAAGTTCCGAGTAGCAAGTCCGCTTAATAGAGGGTCCTGTCGACTGATAATTGTCATAAGTATTTAGGCATGAATTGAGTACCTTGTATGTTGAACACTGTTCAAAATGTGAAATTTGCAGGTCCGTAGAAGATGAACTGACTGACATTGAAAAGTAGAGTGGGAAGGAAATCCACAGACTTCAGAAAGCATTAAATACGCTGAAATTTCCTGGTAGTATGAAAATAGAAGAAAAAGCAATTTCAAAATCAGTAGAACAAAAAATTTAAGGTTAACAATGCTAAAAGTACTCGATTTTGACGTAGTTTGCGACTGCAGTTTCGGAAAAACAGGTTTGTGCACCAGGTAGCGAACCACATATAATATATGACCTATGATGATATCTGGCCATCTAAACTTTAACGGGTAGGACGAAGTTTGAAACCATGACATATTATGAGATACTTGTCTGCATTTTTGTATCACAAAACCATATATGGGCATGTATGAGTTGATAAATGTCAAACAGATATTGAGCTCCAAATTATGTGCATCAATTTGAGAATAATTTACTCAATAGACGTAAGACATGAAGTAATCTGCCAATCCAAACTAGCTGATTGGGGTACACGGGATAAGAGAAACCAGTGGTTGAAGACTCTAGGTGATATGGTTCAGAATAGATGTCTGGTGCAGATGCATACACATATTATCCTCATCTTAATTGCTATGCTGTCTCATCATCTCAGTCTTCCTTCCTCTATTTTACAATTTTCTGCTTTTACTTTCTTTGACCGATTTTTATTTCTTTCTTCATCTTCCATTCACTGCTTTGTTAATTGATGTGCTGACATGAGATGTGGCAACTTGGACCGTTACGCAGTAATGCATGGTCCTATGTTGATCTTGATAGTGATGAACCCTTAGTACCGTAACCTTAACGGTATGAACAATGTAACAAATGAGTATAACAGTTGCCATATAAATGAAACTCCAAATATACATTTATTTCCTAACCATAATATCTGTTTGACAGAAAGTATGTTCAGTTTACGTTTACATTATTCTGAAAACGTTTTTACCAATACCCAAATTTCATTGGCATGACACTGTGATCACCAAATCGGTCTCTACATATTGAAAACATACATATCTTATTAGGGAAAAAGTGTTTTCTAATAACATCACCATGGAATTACAAATAGTGGAGATCATCATCTAAGGAAAATGGTACCTTGAAACTGTTCATTTAACCGATGAAATTTAAGACACTAAATCGACCACAATAAGTTGGCTTAAAAATCAGTGTTAGGTACAATAACCTAGGGACACTTACGAGTTAGAATTAAAAAACTCCTTAAAAATTCAACCTTTACGTACAAACAAACCAGAGTACTTACTGCGGCTGGTTGCATAAAAAATCGGGAACTGCAAAAAACCAAATTTAACACTTACTATGAAATGAATAATTAGTATAACTAACTAATCACGTAAGCAATATTATTCCAGCCTACTAGAATCAAAACTAGTAGAGTATTTATATGATAAACACTTTAATATCTACTGAATAGTGATAACTATCAAAGTTGCAACCGCAGACAACATCAACTACAAAATAATTACAGCTAAACCTTCCGATCTATTGAGTTCGTAACCACAAAATGAATTTTACTGAGTGATGCCAATTAAATATGTCTACTGGTGAGACTCAGAATCTTAAGCGCAGTAATGCGTTTCAATCAACTGAATGACTTTTATACAGAACCGCTAAGAAGGAGATATATAAAAAATACCTTACTTCAAAAAAAAACCATTGCAATGACTCAATGTATCAAGTTAACGTATTAGTGTAACCCCTAATACCTTATTATCAGATAAAGTTGGTGGTAACTGGTAAAACACGCATTTCAATGACTTTTGTAAATACAAAATCCAGATATCTACATAAATTGCCTTCACACACTATTCTACACCTAACCTCTGAATTGTCATCGATTCGAAACAAAACCGAACATATGAAAGTATAGTTGTTCGGATACCAGAAAACTCACACTTTCGTAACCACACAGTAGAACAGAGTGAACTGCAGCGCAGTAAACTCGGCTCACAATAGACAGTCGGACATCACTGCGGCGCCACGAATAGTGTAGGCTGAGCAAGTCGTTCGTATCTGTGCAGGGATTTCGTCCGTCCCCGATCGATTATGGCTGACCCGATTTCCCAAGTGATGGGGTCAACGTGCTCAGCCACTTCACTTAGCTACTTTTTATCTAACCCTATTACTCCCTCTGCATCTGTTCACCTTGTAGAACATTGTAAAAAATTAAAGAACTATAATCGAATCACCGAGTGGATTGCTCCCCATCACAATGTGACACAGAAATGGAACTCGTATACGACAGAAGTAGTAACAATAAGTTCCAAGAACACATTTAAGGAAAAACTGGATCTTCATAAGCAGACCTATCATAGGGAATCACAATAATCAGCAACCTACAAACCTCTTCATTACAAAAGGCAGTCCATTATGGTTACCTATCACGCGAAATGCAACAAAATCGTAACTCACAGGGGAGGTCATTAGGTGCATAGATCTCAGCACAAAAGTCGTCTTTGCAAACAATCAGATGAATATCAACGGTAACATTCTCGTTTGGTCAAAAAACGACGTGGTTTCGTCGGTGGGGTAAAATTTTGTAGAATATGTATCAGTGCGAACATATGGATAGCACTTGCGTGAAATCAGTGTTATTCAATTAATTAAGGGAACATGATAGCAGTGAGTAACGATATTTTAGTAAGATCTTATTTGAATCTTGTTACTTACTGATATTATGTTTAGTTTGAACCTATCTAAACATAGTAGTAACAATAATGTGGAACGAAGTAAATTTGAAATGAAATAAAACCGAATACATCCTAGACAACTCGACATGAGCTATCAATGTTCAAGATATCCAGATGATTCATTGGTTAATCACGGTGCCCCTCATCTATCATTGGAAGTTCACAGTTTTAGTTTTCTCAACCGGATAACAGTAGCGTTGTGAAAAACCTACAGAGATAAGCCAACCTCAAATATTAATACTAATCATTAGCAAGCATACGTCTAGCATGAGCAGTACACTCGTGTCGTAAGCCTCAATGCATGTGGGTCATCAGTAAAATCTACATGCCGGAACAAGGTGGCCACAAACAGCCACCTGTAACATATTGTGCAATTTCACATTACTATTCAGATAAATTCCTGAAGGCGTTGATATGTCTATGTCACTGATGAAGGCAGACGGCATAGCAATACGGAGTAAGCATTGTATTTCGTCACCACAGCAAAATGCTTCAGCATGTTTAAGTAACTTGGCGTCGGCTGTTAAAAGGCTTCGGAACGAAGTGAGTGCAAGCAAATCTACAGTGTCATGAAGTCATACGCAACAAAAACGAGCAAAGTTTACTCGCAACTTCCAGAGAAGAATTCAACAATCTGGAAATAAAGATGGTAAACAACGAGGACAGGGAGGACTAATTAAGCTTCCAAACTTAATTATTTATGCTTACTGTCATTTAGAAGCTAATCACAGCAGACATGAAAAAGCATGAAGCAAATACTTCAATATTCATATGTACTTTATGAAAAGCTTGAAGTTCAACGAAAATCAAGACAACCTTACGTAACACACATGGAGTTGAACATGAGAAGTCAGTAATAAACAACAAATAAATAAGTGTTTATCCCACCTGTAAAAGCTCCCAGGCAATTCTACAAAACACATGTAACCGGAGATGGCTAAGAAAAGTCCTAATGCAAGAATGTCAAATCTTGGTTTCATAATCAACGTGACCATTACAGTGGGTGAATGCAAAGAAAAATTAGGTATAGTACAACTATTCCATTCCTGACCTTTAAAACAAGTTCATGATAATAAACCGAGAAGTGCCAGCTGGTGATACGGAGGACAGCTCAAGTGCCTTGGATAAGAAAAATGAATGAACAGACCTGTAACCACCTCCAAATAAACTATTCACCCTACCACGTTTTTGACCAAAAACGTAGTTTGTAATAGAAAACATCGGACCACAGCTATAAAAGAAAATGCCAGACAATGGTCGTACCATGACTAGCTAATGAAGCATCTAGATATCTTGAACATTGATAGCTCATGTCGAGTTGTCTAGGATGTATTCGGTTTTATTTCATTTCAAATTTACTTCGTTCCACATTATTGTTACTACTATGTTTAGATAGGTTCAAACTAAACATAATATCAGTAAGTAACAAGATTCAAATAAGATCTTACTAAAATATCGTTACTCACTGCTATCATGTTCCCTTAATTAATTGAATAACGCTGATTTCACACAAACGCTTTGAGCTTGTTCCCGCTAATATATATTCTGCAAACTTTTGCCTCATGTATCTATTTTTTAAACATAACTTGCTATCGTAAGTGTAGAACTTGGGAACTGTGGTAATCCCGCAGCGTCATAGTCTGCGTTATACAGTACATATGGATGTAGTATACTAGACTATGTATACCATACTGCTGTTATATCAGATTGACCTATGTAATATGGAGCAACCAGCTGTTCGTACATATCTTCAAAGGCAAATTAACACGGTGGCCGAGCATTTTGCCCTATATCGACTACATCTGAACTCGCAACACTTGTGGCTGAACGCTGCAGCGTTGGGCCCAATATATGCTATAACCGGCTTGATAAGTTGATTGTGGCCCAGCATTATCTTATTCCGGCAAACGTAAATGTTGAATGGGATCTGAGATTACAAGGAAACGAAAATCAAAAGATAGATTTGAAATTAAACGCGATTGCGGTTAATTGATCAGCAAGTAAGTTATATAAATTTTAAAAACACATGCGAATCAACATTTCCGTCGGGCCTCCAACTATCGGAAACATGAGACAAAATGTAGGGTAAGATGTGCGGTTTTGCAACATTTTCTTACGTCTGGTGCAACGAACACATGATCTTCATTTTGCACATTGGGCCGTCTGGCCATACGTATTAACAATCGGGCGGAAACTCACCCTCATATCCAATTCATGCACCAACGTTGGGTCTAACTTTGACCTATTTGGCCCGATGAAAATGTTGACTGCACTCAGCATCATAGTTTCTACAGATAAAACTTAAGATCGTACATAATCGTA